TTTGTTTTGATCTTGCTGCTTTTCCGCTGTTCCCGCTGCTCTGACACCGGTCCCAAGAGCCCGCGCCTATTAGTTCCAGATCCCTCCGGCCATCTCCCTTCCCCTTCTCCCCTAAGCCTCTCTCTGTGCCCGCTCTGGGCCTGTTACAGAAAGTGAGGGTGCTTAGCGAATGTTCACTGCTAATGCAAAGTCTCTGGGGGGTACTTTTTAGCCCTTGCCTTGGGTCTGGGACCCTAAGCCCCAAGCCAACCAAATAGCTAACAGTTATTGGGCAATTTCAGATCTGTTTGAGGAGTGATCAATTATAAATAATGAAAATATGAAAACATTTACTGTATACCTACTGGGTGTAAGACTGGTACCCCGAGGTCACCATGCACTTCAGATTATTTTCCAGGCACATCATTCAACTCAAAAGTTGCGAAGAAAGAGAGTGGAGAAAGATGAGACCATTTTTAAACTCCATACCCTCACTGATGCTATTAGCTGTATCTTAAAAGAGCTATCTGGGCAGTGGTGAACCAGCTTGAAATAATCTCACATGTGAAAGGCAGGAGGAGCAGAGGCTTAGGCTGAAGACAAGTTTGAGAGAGAGAGAGAGAGAGAGAGGGAGGGACATGCCCCCTAGCTTCCAGTGTCCACATGGTGGCAGCGGGGAAACAGACTGGCTGCAGTAGCGGAAGTGACCCCATTGGGTACATACTTGGAAGCAAATCCAAGGTCTCCAAGGAAGAGCTTTTAAATGATTTCAGGGGTTCCAGTTCTGCCAATTGTGGGGCATCTTCATAAAGGCAATTATTGCACTGAGTAGGGAGAGCTCAAGATCTCCAAGAATCTATGATTCCAGGAAAGCTGAAGGGATGTGGATGGGATAGGTAGCCCCTGCTCACAGAAGACCACATCAGAAAGGAGGGTAGGAGCTCTGGGACCACCTGAGGGCAGAGAGCAATGCATTTCCCTCCCCTGCAGCTGGGACACTTACCCACCCCTGGGCACCATCCTCTTCCCTCCCTCAGTGAAAAAGTATGTGCCCATTTCCCCCGTCACTATTTTTTTTTTCCCCACCTGTTAGGATCCTTGGGATGAAGGGCCACATCTCTTTCATGTTCTTCCTTGTTCTCCAAAGATGGCGAAGCTGATGATCTTCCAATGCCAGGAATCCTGGCCATGCCCTCTGTCACCAGCAACGAGCTTCTCTTATTCTCTAGGGCTCTGACCTGGACTCCAAGATAAATATTTAATGTAGAGGGTGCAGCTGAGCCGACAAAGGTCCCAACTTCCTGTTTCTCAGAAGGGGAGGTGGCAGCCATGGGCAAGGAGCTGGGGACTGGCTACCAGCTTCATCTCTATGGGACTGGGGAGTCCAGTAAACGGCTTTGATGGAGGAGGTGGGGTAGGGCTCGCTGGAGACCTGAGCCTTTCTCCTGAGCTGCTTTGACTTCTGCCCGTCTGCTGAGGCCCTGCTGGGCTTATCACCTTCTGTCTCAGGTCAGAACCTGCTTTGCCCCGGCACTGGTGGAAATCACTCTTCCTCCCAGAGTCTGGGGCTATGTGCTTGGACCAAGGAGGGGCTATAACAGGATCCCTCCAACGTGCTCCCTGGTGCCCACCCAGCCTCACAGAGGAGAGGATGAGAGATTGGTGGGAGCACAGAGCATAAGGAACCTGGACCGATTCCTCCTTTTCTGCCCATATTTAGGGAGAAGAATCTCTCCTCTTTGAAAAGTGTGAGATTAAAGGGAAAAAAGTAGTGAAGTTCAAAAATTCAGCCAAGAACCAGGTGTCCAATTTCTCAACTCCTCCCCCCAGCCCCAGCCCTGCTTGCTGCTGGCCTGACCCCGCAGATAGCTGGCAAGCTTTAGGGGGAAGATGAGGATAGGAAAGGCTGTCCTAGGTGACCTAGCTGTTGTCAACAACAGAGCAGATTCCTTTCATCCCAACGCCCCATCTCCTCTGGCCACTCGCTCCGTTATCATCTAACAGGGACCTCCCTCCCTGCCACTTGTCCCCATCCTGGCACGGCCTTTTGTCAGGGGGCTGCTTCTGCCTTCTCAGAGCCACCTGAGCCCTGGTAAACACTGTTACATAACTGCTCTGTTTTCCAGAGCTATCTGATCCTGGTCGGCCGCGGCCCCACCCCCCCCCGCTCCTTGAGGCCGCCACCTTTTGTTCGGTGGATTATCCCCCAGTGGCCCCCACGTCAACAGAGCTTGCTTCACGCCCACCACACTAAGAGATGATTAGCCAAGAGACTACCGGTGCACATTGAGGCTCTTCACACGGAGAGGGAGGAGAGGGTGGCTGTGCAGACAGGAATACAGGTCATTCTGAACACCAGCCTCTGTCCCCAAGAGGAAGGATGAATGGAGAGAGCACTTCGGTAGCTTTTGATGTGAGTAGGGTGAGCAGAGAATTCAGTTTTATTTCTCGAGTGGGGAAAAAAGAAGCCAGGGATCCCAGAAGATACAAACCCGGCCTCTCAGTTCTTGAGGAGTGTCTGTGTCTGGCGCTGGGAGTCTACTATTCGAATGTCACACTCAGATCTACCTTGAGCACCCAACTGGCTCCCTAGCTTGGGCCTCAGTCCCCCATATCAGACAGGGTTCGAGCGCCTGCTATTCCTTCTCTTCTCCTCCACTGGCATGAACTCTGGTATATTCTTTAGTTACGCTTTGAGCAGGTTTTTAATTTGCGCTCTCAGATGAGTGTTTTCGTCCCACCTGGGGAACGGAGCAAGCAGACCAGAATGGATTAGCAAAGAAAACACTGTCCCTTTCGAGGAGCTCAGACTTCTCTAGAGGGAAAGACCACAATGACCCAATAGTGAGGAACTGATCCCAAGTCACATCAGAAACATAAAGACAAATCTGGACGGTTTCACCCCCTGGGCTCCATCCCTTTCTCCTGGGTCCACTCCTAATTCCAGCTCTTGCCAGCCAAGTTCTACTGAAGGCCCTCATCAAGCCAAACACTCATGGGAATGGGAGCAACAGAAGGGGAACACAAGTGACCCATGTGGAGTTTGGAAGACCCTCCTAAGCTGACAACGGCATGGCCTTATCCCAGTTTTTCAGTATCGTCACTGTAAGTTAAGGGATCGCTTGTGAGTGAAAAAATACCCAGTACTCAAGTATGGTAAGTGTTGGGGCCTGGCAGCCAGAGTGAGTGGATCCCCATGGGATAGGGAATGAGGCCTTCAGGCCTGCCTGGCACAAATCTTTTCATAGCACACACACGATGTCACAGCCATCTAGTCAAGGTTCTCAGAGTCCACCACATCCAAACCCCAAAGGCTGGGAGAGAACTCAGACTTTTGTCCAATTATCTAATCTGTCTTTAAGGAAGCCTTTACACTGACATCACACCAACGACTGTGCACTCTCTCCCTCCTTTTATAGATGGGCAAACAGGCACAATGTGCAGACGGGGTGTCTTTGAGAAGAACTGAGCTGGATGAACCTCTTTTAGTTCTCAGGACAGAAAGAAAGAGCAAGTGGCTGTCAGCTCTTCAGAAAGCAGATTTTACAAGGGGAAGATAAATAAGTGATGACCTCAGAGGGAAAACCTAGCCAAGTTAACTCAGCCACAAAGAAGGGCACACAGACCAGGAGCTGGAAAACTAGGTCTGCATCAACCTTTGCTAGTGCGGGTAAACTGAGATAAAGAAGAAAAGAGGGTTGCTTTGCTGGCCAGGGGACCCCATGAGGCAGAGCTCTGGCCTCCAAACAAAGAATGACCTTGTCTTCCCCTCCTTGAATTCTATGATGAACCTTCTCCTGCGCTGCAGCAACATTAAAAAGGCTAATTTACCATGAAGTTATTAATCCACTGTACCAACACTGAACAGACTTTCTAAAACCTGAGAGTTGTGATAAAAAAGCAAAAAGACCAAGCAATTACATATAGCAAGAAAGAAACTAAGGATTGAACCTAGATGCAGTGACGGTATATATGAATTTGCATGAGTTCTTAATGTCCAGGCTTAAAAAAAATTTTTTTTTTCTTGACTCTGAAATAAGAGTGAATATCACCTCATTTTACTGAAGGTTTAGCTGAGGTATTAGGCTATTGCTAAGTCAGGATGCTATTGGGATAACAAAGATCCCAAAATGCAAGCTTAGCTTATTCAGCATGAGGAATCTGGGCTCATTTTCCAGCCTGTAAACTGCACTGTGGCCCTTGATGTGGCTGTACTAATAGTAAAACTGCTGTACTTAGGCCTGGCAGGTCCTGGACTTTCTACCTCTAGTGCCATAACTGACAGATTCCTGCACTGACACAGATTCCTTTCATCCCTACGCCCCCTTTGCTCCTTCTTATGGCTTTCCTATGAGCGTCCTCTCTGAAGATCCTCTCCCCTGACCCCTCACCTGTCCAGAGGAGTTATTTTTTCCTTGTGAATCCACAGCACCTCATGATATTTGCACTTTTCAGAGGACTCGAAGGCTGCTCTGACACTTCCCTTTGTCAGGGGTCCAACCCCACACATTCAATTCCTCTCTGGCTTCTCTCTGACTTCTCTGAAGAAGGAATGCATCCATGTCTGTTATTAGGATCACGTACAGAGTTATTCAATTGCTACAATCAAAATGATTTTTATCTTTTGTAAAGACTGTAAGTTTTCTGCCTTCCTTCCTTTTCTTCAAGTAGCGGCCTCTGCTGGGGAAGCTACAGAAGGGGCTGGGACTTGAGCATGAGTTAGTGGTGGGCCAAGTGCCAGAAGGGAGGCCAGAGCAAGGGAATGGATTCCGAGTGGGAGAAACAAACAACACCACAGCCAGCAAAGCAGATTTAAAACCAGGGAGCTGAAGAGGCGAAGAATAGAGGTTCCTTTTACTGTGATGGGATTCCTGTCCTTGAGAGGGGAACTCTGTGGCATTATCAGAGACCAGACCAGACATCAAATATGAGGCTTTCCCTTGACTTCCGGAATCACTGAATGGATAAGAGCCAAACAAGAGTGCCTCCACCAGGAAATAAAGGAAACAAAGACACTGGGAGCCAATAAAGTTATCATTTAATGTTAAGAGTGTTTTTTTTTTTCCCCAAGATGACTTCCACTTACAGTAAGAAAGTGTTAACAAATTAATTTCTTGTTCACAAAAAAGACTAATTTTTAAATGATTCCAGCCGATAAGTAACATTTCCACCATTTGCTTTAACATAACTGAAAGCAAGAAAAAGCAAGTAATCTTCAAGCACAAGTAAGTAATCCATCATTCAGACAAGCCTTAAAAAAATTATACCACCAGATAGTCTCATGTCTGACCATCTCATTTAAGGAAGCAAAACCAGAATCTGTTCTTGGGAAATGCCTGCTGACATTCCTGTTAGGAAACAGAGTGAATGGTCACAATGTGCTGAGAAAGGAAACAAACGTGAGGGGTTCACGATGGTATCTTCAAAGTACTTTTCTTTGACAGACAAAACCCGCATCTTTATTGCCATAAATCAAAACCTACAGTAGACCTGTTCCCTATTACATGCACTTCACTTTAACATGCAAAAAAAAAGTTATTTGGAGACAGTTATGTCAAGGGAGTGAAGGGAATCTGGGCAAGAACTTACAGGAAGGCAGTGTGCATGGCCCTCCTCTAGAGCTGCTCACAGGGATGGTCCACGTCCATGTCCTTCCTTCTTGATCTTAAGCCACCTAGACTTGTCATGAGGGCGCAGAAGAGGGGCAGATGCATAATCCTGTCTCGGACAAAGGTGTTATTTAGCAAGTCTTGCCCAGGTTGCTGGGGTGTGAGGCCACGGCCCCCCGGGAGGGAAAATGCTCTCCAGTATCATCTTTACCTTTGTGACTGCATAGACGGAGGCAGCTAACCCTGACCCCATTCACTCTGGCTGGCTGCACAGAGGCAGGTCAGGTCACAAGTCTCACTGTCATGTCCCTCCTTCACACTCTGTCAACGGCACAAAGCTCTACTGTTAACGCAGTTCTCTGCTCAGCTCAAGATGGGAGTAACAACCCTGTGTTTCGACTACCCAGCTTTCTCCCTCTACACACATCTGCTCTTTCTTACGGCCTTCCCAGGAGCGTCTGATCACAGCAGTGCTGAAGAGGGGCTGTGGCATTACGACGCTTCGGAACTGTCTCCCAGGTAATCCAAACGCTCCAATGGCTATTGCTGGGGCTTCCTAGGGCTGCCCTTTACTCTCTCTTACAGCAGATTTCAGAAAAAATGTGGACCTGGGTGCCAGACAAGGTGGTATCCGTGGTTTTAATCACAAATGACTTAGGAAATTAGAGCCTGACTCCCACAGCCGGGACCCTGGGTTCACCTTCCCTCTGAAGTCTTCCTGGGTAGGGAAAGCTGAATAATGCTTTGAAAAAAATTTGGGTTCCACTGTTTCTATAACAACTGTACTAAATACTGGAGATTCCAGAATGATCTCTCAACCAGCCTTTATGGGTGTGAAAATAATTTTCAATTCAAAAACTGGAGAGAAAAACCTGAGAATTGATACAAAGAAAAACTATGAATCAGTCAATCTGGTACAAGCTTTTCCTAAACCATCTTAACCAACTGGTCACCCAGATTGGTCAGGAAGAATTTAATTCTCAAGAGCTTGAGTTTTACATTTAAAGACATGGTATAGTCAAAAATTCTGGAGATCAGCTACCATATTTCCATAAAACAAGGGAGGGAAGAGGGAACAGACTTCAGCCTTACTCACTCTGAGAGGCTGGAGAGACAATTTTTTGCTGTTGTGAAAGGAATGTATCAATGGCAGAGAGTGACTATTTTGTGCCTATTTGGGAAACAGATACACAATGTATATGCCATCATCTTCGATCAGTGAGGGGGCAGACTTTCTAAAAATTTTATCTTTTTGGGGGGTAATTTTATTTATTTTTAAACAGAGGTACTGGGGATCGAACCCAGGGCCTTGTGCATGCTAAGCACACACTCTACCACTGAGCTATCCCCTCCCCTCCCTGTATCTCATGTAGGCATGATTTATATTTTTCTCATAGAGAGCAGCTGCCTGAAACTTTGGGTCTTAAAATTACTCAGAACAGGATCTAAGGGAAAATGCCAAGTCCCCAAAGAAATCCCACCTTTGTTCCTTAATGACATTAAATAATACTATACAGTTTACAAAACAAGTAAGAGCTTTTCTTTTCCTATTTTGAACAGTGTCAGGAAATCATACCTAAGTTATCAGGATAAGAAAGCAAATCATTGCTTTTGAGATAAACCTGCTTCCTTGAACTGCAAGACAGAAAAGGCAACATAAATATAGATAAAAGGGTATGAAAAATGCCGACATCCCTGGAGAGGCTGATCCTGCTATCCCTAGGCAAGAAGCCCCATCAAGCACATCGGTACGATAAGCCATTTTCACTGTTCCGGTGACAAAAGGCCAGCGAGTCACCGATGTCTGTACCCGTGACCAAAGTGCTACCTTGAGGTTTTAAAGAAAACAGGATGCTTTTGTGTTAGCATTCTGTCTCTCTGTCTCTCTCTCTCACACACACACAAACACACACACACGGCTTATTCTTTTGCTTTTGCTCTAAATATTCAGAACACAGAGATAACAAAGGATGTATGTTTTGAACTTGTGTTAGATGAGTTTAAAACATTTTATTAACAAGAACTGTCATCTCATCAGTTGGAAATTTCGTATGATATGGATGTAAACAAAACTGGGAGAACTGGTCCTTGGGAAGTGTCGTTTCTAAAACGGGATTTCAAAGAAGTTTACACAGGGGCCCTCTGATAGGTCTAGGGAACTGATGTGAGATGTGTCGCCCCCTCCCCCACCAAAATGAGGGAGGGTAAGGTCCCTGTGGACCTTAAAGTGAAGGAGAGCAAGAGAAAAGTATTTTTAGTATCTTTAGAATATGCAGGGGGAGATTTAGTAAAAAGAGAAGAGGCTTTGGAAACAGCAACACTGCAGAGCGCTGACAGCAGTTAAAATGTTGGTCTGAAATGATGGTCCCAGGCAGACCACCAGGCCCCAGGGAGCACTAGGGCAAACCTAGGGCAGGCCACCAGCCATCTCAGGGGCTACTGTTTAGATGAAAACATTAAAAAATATGTTAAAACCTTGCAATGATGTCTGAAGTGAAGAACAAGCACTATTATTACAATATATCCCTAAGGTTCATGCCTTTTATTTTATTTATTTTTTTTTGGAAAAAAAATGGGGGGGGCGTGGTAATTAAGTTTATTTTTTAATTACTCTTTTTTTCTTTTTAAATGGAGGTACTGGGGATTGAACCCAGGCCCTCATGCACGCTAAGCACACACTTTACCACTGAGCTGTAACTGCCCACACCCACCCTGGTTCATGCCTTTTGAACTGTCCTGAGTCACAGGTGCAAATGTATGTGCAAGTGCACTGATTTTCCGGTCTGGCTTTAAGAAGTTACCTGTGTCACATAGACACACTTAGCATACAACTTTCTCAAGTGTTGAAATACATATCCTAGCTTTCTATAGTGCATAAGAAATGCCTTTATGTTTAGAATTCAACAGGATTTTTAAACCTAACTTCCTTCAAGAGCTGTATTGTGCTCTTTTAAACCCCCCTCCAATTTTCTTGAATCATGACTTCTTAACTCCCTACTTAAGCTGATGCTGCAACGCTCAAAGGGTACCTGTAAAATGCATCTTTCCACGTGGCTCTGTCAACGAAAATCACTTTACCGTAATACTTTCATTTTGAGAAGAAAATGAAGATCTTCCTAAGTCTTAATGCAATTTTTTTTTTTTTTTTGCTTGTGAGGATTTGTAATAACTATGTCACTATTTGTCTGTTGATTGTAGCCCTTGAGACTGAAGCCTGACGTTTCTATCCACAGACTGTCCTCAATGGAAAAGAGAAAGGGACCAGGGACTCCCATGTTTCCAACCTGTCACGTGAACTGACTTTCACATCAGGTGTGGTTCCCAAAAGAGCGGCCGGTTCCATATTAGGATTGGGGGAGGAAGGAGCACGAGGATATCCAGGCGACGAATTCCCCTTTGATTATAAAGATACGATGACCAGCAAGGACAAGTATACACGGCTTTTTTCTCCCCACTTTCACAGGTCTCACTCACAGCCCAATAAGGGATCTTTCATCTCCTTCCCAATATCCTTCCTATCTTTTTGTTTTTAATTAACAGAGCAATCTATGCCACCAGATTCCAGTCCCCAAAATGCTTTGATCTCTGTCATAAACAAATGAGGAACTGTTAACGAGGCATAGGAAAACAGAGACAGATGGGCTAAATCCTCACTCTTCTAATAAAATTACAGGGTTTTTTTTGAAAAAGGTCTCTGGTGTCCCTGAAGCTCCGACATACCGTTTGAGAGTGTTGCTTCAGTGCTGGACTCCCACAGCCCAAATGACATGAAGGAATTCCATAAATATGCACTTTGGTGTAGTGCTGCCCAAACACGCACATTCACTGCAAAACTGACCAGTGAGTATTACGACATGGCACCTGTCACCAGGCTAAACCAAAACTGGGAGCCTAAAGATCCCTGAAATGTCCTTCATGGGTTAGCTGTGACTTGAAAAACTAAGGGAAGATTATTCAGATATTCTATCTGAACACTCGGTTTTGCATTCTGAAATATGCTGACAGAGACTGACAGACAGTTCAACCTAACGAGTGCTGAGAAACGAGAAATACCCCAGTAATTGGTAGGTAGGAAATCCTCACTCATCCAATGCCCCTTAGCAAGACTTCCAGTTCATAAGGGGGCCATTCTAACCTAGTCAGTTTACATCACCCCTGTTGCTTTCAAAAATGCTGACAAAGAAAAACACAGGGCACCAGGGTCACGGGGACAGCAGATGGGAGAGCTGACAGTAACACCAAGAGGCGTAGGTACTTCTTACCGTTGAAGGTTCTACAGAGGGCCTCTAGGAAATATTTAGAAAGGTAGCTTCCTTTGCAGATGGGCTAAATCACCTAGGGTTCAAAAATAAGAAGCAAAAGGATCTGGCAACATTTAAGAAATCTCTGAAGTCCTAAGGGAAGTTTAAATCCATCATGCCCATGGTTAGACTGGAACAAATTTTAAGTTAATTCTTTGAAAACCCCTCCTTACTTTTTATTCTGCCTTGCTAGAATATATTAAGAGTAACTGAGAGTCTAGAAGAAAGTGGGTTATTATGGAAAACATTTCCCTTGGCCCTTAAAATCACTGGGTTTGGGTTATTCACTTAGAAGTTCTACTATAATCAAGTTTTCCGTAAGAAGAGATGTTTTAGCCACTGACATCTAAGCGTTTGTCAGCGGTACCCTGCAGGAAGGGAAAAAAGAAAAGGAAAACCCCTTTGTGTTTGAAAAGTGATTAGTCTGAAATGAAAGATATTACCCTCCAAACACAAGAGAAAAGGTTGGCTAGTTCAAGTCAGAAACCCAGGGTGGAGGTTTCCAAGGCCCTTTTATTAGGGGAAGGACCCCTTTATAGCACAAGACTTCACATATATATCAGACAATCAGATCAATTCCTAAAAATTAGGGGGGAAAAAAGGGAAAAATAAAAGAGATGCACTTTTTATATATATTAAACATAAATTAAAAGAATTTATAAAATGGTCACCTTTCTTACAGAATAAATGCAGAGTGTATTATGAATGCACCTCCAGGTTTAAGTTGTTTAAGTTGTTCTTGTTTTGTTTTCCAATAATAAATAAATAAAATCTGTTCTTAAGTTTTGGATCCGCCTGTGCCACAGCAGGGCTCTGAGTCATTACTGGCTCTTCTTCCCTTGTCACTCCGGTGCGCAGCGTTTGATGGGACAGGGGTTACCAATTTCACTGGCCCATCAAAGTACTGGCTATCTTTGCGGGGTGGCATCCGCTCATTAATTCGGTCCAGACCTCGGGCTTCTTCAAAACTCCGGATCCTGTGCTGAAGCGAAAACCCTCTGATGGCTACAGAAAAACAGGAAAGGGAGGGGCTCAGTTAGGCAGAAGAGCAACCAACTCGGAGTTTCTTAGCATACAGCAACCTTCTAGAGAGGAACATAGGAGGGCGGCTGTGGAGCACATGTCTGGTAAAGGGAATAGGCAGTGCTTGATTTGAATTAGCCTTGTCTGAAGCTACAGCTTCCTTAGGGCCCAAAGGGCTGCTGAAACTGTGAAAGTAATTTTCATTGAAGCTCAATATCATTAATCATACCAGAAATATACGTGACAAAAAGCCCCAATTTGAAAGAGTCTATTATGGGCCAGAAACGTGCTCAGAGAGAGAGAAAAAAGGCAACCAGATAACAGAATAAGTTAAACAGGGTGGTTACTCTAATACAAACATCACACTGACCACAAAAAAAAAGTAACAAAACTGCTAATCTTTTTGTTTAGAAGGATAGCTTTTTATCTTGCACAACCAGGAGCTGAATGTAAGCTAAAAGTCTTTTAAACAATAGTTTCTAGACATTTTCTTTCTGATTAAAGTTTCGTGTCAGCAAGGAAAGGCATTCTCATTGTGAACCCCCTTATCTAAAAAGACAAATTTGTAACACAAGTTTATCAGCTGCAATGGTATTTATCCTCAGATTCATTCGACAATTTGTTAGTTAAAATTTGTTTTCATAAAAACAAAGATAATTTAGCTCAACTAAGGGCAACCTCAGAAACGAATCAAACTAAACTCCTGTCCTCTTTAGACTCCACTCTTGACATCCTTTGGAATCATCAGATAAAGAGGCTGAGTCTGAATCTCTGGTAATCAGATGGGTGTCTCCTGTGTACGGAAGGGCTATGAGATTATACCACTTGACCCCCCACCATGACCAGTTGCTTAAGCTTCAGCCATTGTTTTAAAACTGACAGAGCCCAGAACGGCCTTGAGCTGTGGAGAGGGTCATTTAAATTAACACAAAGGAAACACTTTGTGAGCACGCCTAGGGATATCTACTCCTTTCCTCTCTGTCACAGTTCTGGTGATGCAATAATAAAAGATTTCGACTGTTGACAAAGCTTTTTAAAACTAGCACACAGACACATGATCACATCTATCACAGGAACAGGGCCATACCTTCCCGGGCCTCTACGGCTTCTATTGTGGCTGTAAGAGGCAGGAGCAGCGGCATGCAAAAACGAAGACAGAAACAGTGAGTGAACCAGCAGCACTGCTGCCGCACAGACATCCCCGGGCCCCGCCTTTCAGCCTGCTCCCGCCCGTAATAAAAGCCCCCCAGTTAGAGAAGTGAGAGGATGACCGTGAAAAACTAAACTGCGGGGAAATCCGAGGTGGGGAGAATTTCTAATACTTTTTAACCTTTCACTAATGACATCAAGGGAAGCTGACTCAAAGCGTATGTCGCTCTCCTCATTTTAAATAGCCAGCTGCTGATTTCCATCTTGACATTCATGTATCAGAATATGTCAGGTCAGATCACTTAATGTTACAACCATTTCTCCGTTTGTGATAGCTCAGATAGTCTTAAATGAGCTGTTGCTGCATCCTATTAAAAAAAAAGTTATTTACAACTATTTCTTAATGCTTTCAAGCAACCTGCAGGGGTCCGGCTGTCCTTTATAATGACTTACAAAAAAAAGAGTGGCCTTTGAATAACATACTGGCATTTGTAAGGAGAGAAAAGTGGGTTACAACTGAGGGATTATTTCTTCTCCGGGTGTGCAGTACTAAGCTGGCAAAGGCATAAAACGATTCAATTCCGAATACAAATTCATGTACCATCTGGGATCAGAGACACAGCAGAGGCTGACATTTCCAACCCATATGGCTTCCATTCGCTGTGCAAGAGCGCAGGCCAGTTACTAAGATGGCCCTCTTCTTCTGTGATGGAGAAGGAAGCGATTTAAAAATTAGGGCCAACAGGTAAACTTTCTTGCATCTTCTTTTTAAGACAGTAAAAGTCCGAAGATATGAAAGGTTACAGACTGTAGCAAGAAGGACCCTATTAGGAGAACCCCATCAGTTCCTCCAATACCAATTTTTTAAAGAAGGCAGGAAAGAATAATGAACAGTGAGAGTTTGCTGTTCCTGCGGCTTTTTATATCAATCAGAGAGGAGAAATTGGAGGAACTGAAAATTAACTCCCCAACGCAATGTGAAAAATGGAAACTTGGAATCAACTTATCAAGTGCTTCTTACATTTGTCAACCGTATGTAGGCATGTGTTAAAGCAATGTCACACCCTCTCAATCTCCTCAAATAGAACAAATAAACTTGCACCAGAAAAATGGCAAGTGCCTTCAAACAGTACAGCCCTGAAGCAACTGTTAGGAAGTGGGAGAACAAAGCATTACCTGAAATTGTATACAGTGTTGGCTTAATTAGCATTTAAAAGCCAGGTGGTAAAATGTTAACTAGTATCACGCTGTTTCGAGACCTCCTAGAATTGCTTTTTGCGTTGGGTATTTATCAGCCTGTACTGAGGGGCATTCATTGTAAGAAACAGTCAACTAAAACTGAGAAACTCTTTTTTTCTTCAATAAAATACACTTCTCTTAGATTTCTTAACTGAAATATAATTCATATGCCATAAAATCCACTTGTTTAAAGTGTACAATTCAATGATTTTAATATATTTAGAGTTGTGCAGCCATTACCACAATCTGTGGTTAGAACATTTTCATCAGTCCTCCCCAAAACCCATTTCACTCTCTCATCCCCTCCCCTTAACCTTACAGTCAACCACTGATCCACTTTCTGTCTCTACGGATCTGCCTGTTCCAGACATTTGATATAAATGGAATCACACAATATGTGGTTTTAGTGACTGGCTTCTTTCACTTATCATAATGTTTTCAAGGTTTATTCATGCTGAGGGTGGTATCAGTATGTCATTCCTTTTTATGACTGAATAGTATTCCACTGTATGAAGATAACACATTTTGTTTACCCACTCATCACGTGATAGACATTTGTGTTCCCACTCATTGGCTATCACAAGGCATGCTGCTATGAACATGTGTGTGTAAGTTTTTGTGTGGCTATACTTTCATTTCTCTGGGCATGGAACTAGGAGTTGAACTGCCGGATCATGTGATTAACTGTATGCTTAATCATCTAAGAAACTGCCAGGTTGTTTTCCAAAGTACTGCTCCATTTTACAGTCCGACCAGCACCGTATGAAGGTCGCAATTTCTCTACGTTCTCACCAATACGTGTTACTATCTTTTTGACTACAGCTATCCCAGTGCGTTTAAAGGGGCATCTCACTGTGGTTAATGACTAATGATGCTGACTATCTTTTTGCGTGCTTATTGGCCATTTGAGTTTTCTTTGGAAAAATGTCTATTCAATTTTTTTACCCATTTTTAATTGGGTTATTCATCATTTTATTACTTAGTTAAAGAGTTCTTTACATTTTCTAGATACTAGTCTCTTACCAGATGTATGATTTGTAAATGTTTTCACCCATGCTATGGGTTATCTTTTTACTTTCTTGATGGCTCCAGGCTCCATTTGCAGCACAAAACTTTTCAATTTTGACATAGTCTAACTTATAACTGATCCGTTTTTTACCTTATGGTCTTTGTGACTCTCATTTAGTTCTTGGCTTTCCTCTTTATTTTGGCTACTAGGAAGCTTGGAGTCAAATTTGTGACTGACTCTTGGCTTTTATTGGTTTGTTTTCCTTCGTGCTCCAATTCCCAAGCATATTTATTTCCCTTCACTGTGTTGTATGTATACTGTAACTCGCCCAAATCCCTCTTGGAACCAGGTGGGGCATAAATGAATGTGGCTGAAAGGACCGTATGGGATTGGATATTGTTGGTTGAAAGCTCTCCAAGTAAAGCTATATGAACAATAAAAGATCTTTTTTAGCTAATGTTCCAGTTTGCCAATTAACTGTGGAACTGAGACTCTGATGGGAAAAATGACAAAATAAACCTCAGTTCCTGTCAATCAATGAGAGAAGAGGAAGCTCTAAAAAGTTGGCTCCAGATTTAGTTTTGTTCTTACACATTTCTGAGATTTCCATCCATTTTGGAGGTATCAAAAACAATCCTATATTGAGTAAAACACTCATATTCCAATCAAGAATGAAGAGAAACTGCACATATTTGGGACTGAGAACAAAAAGTGGACCAAGGGTTATAAACAAATCTCCAAAAAAACACATCTAATAAATTCTTTTTGCTACTTATCCCAGACTTACAGATTTATTCTTTCAAATCAAGGTCTAGAAAAATTTGGTTCAGATTACAATGGCTTTGTGAATCAGCAAATTTTCAGACTATTCAGGGAGGATGCTACAGAACATTCCTTTTTCCCTACCCACGTTACTTCCTATTAACTCTAAAATGCATTGTCAGAGCTGCTCTCAGAATATCTCACGTGGCTAACAAGAAAAGTAATGGTGGGAAAGTATTTTGTTTACAAGAAACTGTATATTATTTGAGAGAAAAAAATTCAATCTGAAATAGTTTACCGATTCTTTCTATGACACTACATAAGTTAAGAAAATTAATTATATACTTCCAAGGAGAAAATGTTCATTCTTCCTTATAAATAGCCAAACTCTAATATTTCAGTATTCAATTTGAAAGAGGAGGAGGAGGAAATCAATCTCATAAAAAGAAGGGGGCAAGGGGGGTGCTTCTATTAATCAATAGCACTGGAACGTCCACAAAAAGCGAAGAATTCCTGTGAGTGGCAGAATGACACGGAAAAAGAAACTTAAGTAGAAACAACTCAAAAAACAAGGGGGCAAAAAAAGCAGTGAAACTCTTAAGTTGCTAAGGCTTCAACTCCAGTTTCCATGCCTGGATTAGTCATCTAATGACTGGATCTCACGTCTCTTTCCCTTGCTTGACCAGAGCTGTTCGTTCTGACAAACATCCATCTTTTCATCCCCAGGTTCCATAAACCCCTCTCCTTAGAAGTCAGCGCCCGTGTAATTTTTAAGACCGACTTTGGTTGAAGGGGTGACTGGGGTAGGATATGGCTTGCAGGCAAAGAGGCAAACTCCCTCTCTGATCTAGAAATTCTAACTCCAAAAATATTAAAGTATAAAACATACACAAGTGAGGCACATAATGTGCACAACTCTGAAGTGTATGGCGCAATCCATTTTCAGATGTGTACACACTTGTGTAACTGCCACCCAGATGGTGATACAGAACATTCTCACAAAATTCCAAAAGTCCCCTGTGCTCCTTCCGGGTCCATATTCTCCCACCAGAGGAAGCGTCATTCTGACTTCTATTACCATTGATTCATCGGCCAGTTCTTTTTTTCTTTTCTTTTTTTGAAAGCAGAAAAATAATTTATTACAAAAGATGGCAGAAATAAATTCATCCTGAAAATACACTTTGGTCTAATTCTGGCGGGACAGCTCCTCCTCCCGAACGTGTTCTCCTACTGACTGCCCCACCGGAGCCTTATTACTGTCTTGCTAACAGTTCTTTTTTGTTTTAATTGAAGTACAGTTGATTTATAATGTTGTATTAGTTTCCGGTGTACAGCATAGTGATTCAGTTATACACATGCACACACATATTCTTTTTCATTATAGGTTATTACAAGATACTGAATATAGTTCCTTGTGCTATGCAGTAAGACCTTGTTTATCTGTTTTATATATAGTAGTTTGTATCTGCTAGTCTCAAACTCCTAGTTTATCCCTCCCTTCTCCCTTTCCCCTTTGGTAACCATAAGTTTGTTTCCTATCTCTGTGAGTCTCTTCCTGTTTTGTAAATAAGTTCATTTGTATCATTTTCTTAGATTCCACAAAAAAGTGATATTATATGATATTTGTCTTTCTCTGTCTGACTTACTTCACTTAGTATGATGATCTCTAGGTCCATCCATGTTGCTGCAAATGGCATTATTTCATTCTTTTTTATGGCTTAGTAGTATTTCATTGTACATATATCTTTTGATTGGAGCATTTAGTCCATTGACATTTAAGGTAATTATTGATAGATATGTATTTATTGCCATTTTAAACCTTGTTTTCCAGTTGATTTTGTATTTCTTCTTTGTTCCTTTTTTTGTTTCTTTTTGTTTTCCTCTTGTGGTTTGATGATTCCTTTTGTATTAAGCTTGAGTCTCTTCGTTTTGGTTTTTGTGACTCTGTTGTATACTTTTGATTTGTGATTACCCAATTTTTCAAGTATGTTAACTCACTGCTGTATCTACTTGCATTAGGCTAGTAGACATACAGGCTCAAACACATTCTAAAAAAAAAGGAAATAAAATCTACATTTTCTTACTCCCCTCCCCTACATTTTATTATTTTGATGTCCTCTTTTACATCTTCATGTTTATTCTTCTGCTGTTCCTGACAGTTTTTAAACACTTCGCTGATTCCCATGTTGTGAGCAGGCAGGAGCCATCTTTAAATTCACGGGCTCCAAGGAGAGAGTAATGTATTTCTCAGAACAGCACTTTCTATCCCAGAAGAGTGTGTACACATTTTACAGAGTCAGCGCAGTTTAGATGAAGGAGGCACACAGGTCATTCAAGTTTAAAAATGTGACAGGAAAAACCCTGCCTTGTAGAATAAGATATTCAAATGTGGTGCGAACGCTTAAAGCAGCTGATGGCCAAACGAGGCGGGTCAAGGAAAGTGGCCTGGGTATGGAAGTGATTATACATCCAGAAGAATTCTTTTCATGACAAGAGATAGCAGCAAACTGAACAGGTCACCAACAAGGTGATGATAAGCGTCTGGTTGGGAACCAAAGGGATGAACTAGGGCATGAGGAAGCTGACAAAGCCCCACAACACGCTCATCACGATGAGAGGCACCATGAGGCACCCAACGCCTCACTTAGGTCCCACCCAGGAGTGTTAGCCTGCCTGTTCCTGAACATCACATAAATCAGTCTTGCTCTTTTGTGTCTAGCTTCTTTAGTTTACCACGATGTCTGTGAGATTCAATAGGTTTTTTGCATGATATTCATGTTATTTTTTATTGTTGAGTAATATTCCATTGCATAAATATAACACAATTTGTTTATTCTGCTATTGATGGACATTGGGTTGTTTCCCATTTCTGACTCTCATGAATAAAGCTGAGGTGCATATTCTTAGGCACATCCTTCAGTGGGCAAATGCACTGTTACCTCTTAGACATAAACCAGGTGTGGAATTGCTGGGTTATAAGGTAGACATATGTTTTCCTTTACTGCCCAACAGTTTTCCAAAGTTGCTGAACCAATTTGCAAGTCCACCAGCGATGCATCTAGTTCTAGTTCTCCACAAATTCATCAACACTTGGTATTGTCAGACTTTTAAATTTTAGGCATTCTAGTAAATATGTATACAGTTCTCAATATGGTTTTAATAACCATTTCCCAGAGGAGTGACTATTTTAAGCATCTTTTCATATGTTTTTTGGCCATCTTGATACTCTCTTTTGTGAAGTACCTGTTAAAATCTTTTGATCATTTAAAAAAATTGGTTGGTTGTGTTTTTCTTATTGATTTGTAGTTCTTTATATATTCTGAATATAAGTCCTCTGTCAGACATACATACTGCAAAAATCTTCTCCTGTTTATGGTTTGCCTTTTCCCTTTCCTAATCATGAATTTTTAAGAATAGACATTCTTAATTTTAATGAAATTCATTTATTAATTTTTCCTTTTAAAGTTAGTAGTTTTTACGTCATATTTAAGGACACTTTACCCCCGTATTTACTCTCCATGCTTTCTTCTGGGAGTTTTTCTGTTCTACCTTTTACATTTAAGTTATAATTCATTTTGATTTAGTTTTTGTGAATGGAAAGAAGGATCAAGAGTCATTTTTCCCCTAGAGATGGATGTTCAATTGTTCTAGTACCATCTGTTGAAAGAAGCCCTAAATTTCCATTTAAATTGGCTGCTAGGTAATTGGGAGCGCATCTTCCACGAAAGGAGCATTTCTCCTACTCACCTGTCTCAATAGTCTGCTTTCCTCCTGAGAGGACACCCAAAGGGAGTGTACCTGTAGGAGTCAGGCCCTTGAGAGTCAGCACGCTCTCACTCTCTTCCCTGCAAAGGAAGATCAAAGCCCTGGGTTAATGCCAGAGTGTCTACCACTCAGGAACTGGAAGACACTGGAAGGAAGTTAAGAAAAGATGTACAGAGATGGAGGACCAGTTCTCCTCTCCCTATCCCTCCCCTGACCCAAAGAAAGGGATGCTTTCTGTAAATATTCCAATGTAAACAATTAGCGAGGTGCTTTTCAATTTGAGTCACCATATAGCAGGTGCTTTTCTGAAGTTTTCCGTGTATTATCCCGTTTAATCCTCCTAATAACCTTGTAAGGCAGATCCTGCTATTATCTCTCTTCTCAGACAAGGAAAACGAGGCTCGAGATCACACAAGGAAGAAGACGGACCGCCAGGATGTGAACACAGGCAATCCGGCTCCAGAACCCGCACCTACTCACGACACTGACTACACTGCATCTAAGCTCACACCCAAGAAATGTTTGCCAGAACAGTTTCTAGTCACTTTAACATGTAGGTCTGATTCAATCTGGATTCAACCCAAAGAACCTACAGTTTTAATACCAAATTCCAATTCTAAAAAAAAAAGTTCTGAAATCAACTTCTAAATTACCCTCAAAATGTTAAGACGGACTCATCCTTACCGAAGAATTGAAAAGACCCGTGCCATCTTCCCAATGGCTCTGATTTTATTCTTGATGACCTCCTTCCGAACCGTAGTGCCTCCTTAGAGAATACAAAGAACCAGTGAGTTAAAGGAATGTGTTAGCAGGTTAGTTTAAACAAATGCAGGATGAAGTGACTTTCTAGGTTAAAGAAACTGTTGTTAAAAAAAAAAAAGAAATCAAAGCCGAAGTTTGTTTAAACAAACAAAAAGCCCAAGAAGTTCTAAGGGAAAAAAAAACCCAGAAGAGAGAAAAAAAGAGATGAAGTAAAAAATGGAGGGGGCCACAAAAAGGACAAACTGGGTGGATCTATGAAAAGGAGGGACTTATTTGCGGTTCTGAAATGTGGAACACGGTGAAGAATGAAATACAAACATATAAACAAAAACAGCTGTTACAGTAAAGATCTCTTTTGAGAATGCTGTGGGCCACCTCAGGATGCAGGTTTGGCCTGCCAAATGGCAAGTGATGACTTGAGCAGCTGTCTTGTGCATGTAAACACAATACACAGCTCGCACTCCTGAACTTAGTGAGAGCTGCTTTCATTCTATAATCCTCACTTACAGACTGGTGAGTTAGCGCCTACCACGGACAACTCCACCGGACAAATTAGGATGATGCGTAAGGTATTTCACAAAGCGACATCAAAAAAGTTAACGTAAGACTTCACGTCCTTTTCTCATCTAAGATTCAGGAAACAGCTCACACAGGAGAAGCCAAGGTCCAGGCATGCATCAGGTGACCGCATTCAAAAGTTAGAAAAAGAAATGTGGCCTCTCCTTCCTCGCCCCTCAGCTCTCAATATCCTGCAGGATCGTACAGCAGGGTCCAGAGAAAACACATACATTGAAACAGAAAGGGAGGATGGAGAGCCTGTCTGAAATTATTCAACTACAACTCAAAAAGTCTAATTAATAGACTGTGGTAGGACAGACAGCGAGTGTTGAGCTTGTTAGCACATTTTGGTCAGATACCTTTCTGATAGCTTGAAATGTAGTGATCTTCAGGGAGAAGAGACACCAAGAAACAAGGAGATGAAAATAGAAATATGGGAAGAGAAATTTAAGTTTGCATGGAAGAGAGGAAAAAAATCAAAGTGAAATGCAATGAGAGAAGCAGGCTATTATCTTTATCAGCTCAGAAGAGACATTCTTGGTTTCATGACAGAAAATTAAGTTACAGATTTCTTGGCAGTTATTTCTCTAATTTTTTAGAAGTTTCTAAGTTCACATTAATTCACATCCATTATTATCCAACATATTCTAGCCCCACAGATCACAAAAGTAAAACTAGACAAAGAAAAAGATTATTCGTGGAAGAAATAATGCTGAAAACAAGGAACAAAAACAAAGGACAGAATGAACACCTTGCAAATCTCTTAAGAAGAACACCATGTTTTTCTGTGATGGGTTCAATATCTTCCCATATCTTTCTGGAGATATTATAGCTTTTCCTTTTTAAAATTTTATATTTCCTCAGAATCTCAAGTTCATTCAAGTTGCTTTTTGCTGGTTTTGTTGTTGTCTCTCTTAGAGACTTCCCTGAGGAGTCCAATAATCCTCGGTGTCTGCTCATGATCCACCATGAGGGACTAGAAAGCTCTCAGAGTTGGCGTGTGGACTGGACTGTTGACTTGGAGCTTTACAAACACAAAGTGACCAGGATGGGCCTCTGTTGGGGAATTCTCTGTATCTGTACTGAGAATGAACACGGCCACTTAATTCACCTGTTTCTGGCAAAGTGTTGCCCTCAATTGTATCTCCAGCCCAGAAATTCTTTGGTGTACACTTTTGAGAGGTTAGCCTCCAGTCTTGGAGAAGAAGCAGCTGGAACTTTAACTACCTTTCAAACTACCTTCACCTGGTCTACTTACTTTAGCTCAGTGCCCATCTCCCTCCTGCCCCCAACCCACAGACCCCAATTCTAGCAACTGGTGTAGGCTACCAGTTCCTTTGCTTTTTGAGGATTCTGTGCTGGAAGTCAGTGTTCTCCATTACTAAGTGGGGCTTCAGCTTTCTTGAATCAGCCAAGTCAGTAACACTAATTCATTTGTTTTCCAGCTTCCAAAATTCCTACAAAATCTCCATATTTTTGTAAATTTATAACTGTTTAAAAAATTTTATTGTAAAGTGTGATAAACATACAGAAAGGTACACAAAATGAATGTATAACTGAATGATTTATTAAAAAGCAAATGGCCATATAAGCAGCCAGGCCAATAAACAGAACCTTGCCAGCACCCCAGATGCCCTCCTTGGGCCCCTCCTAATAATTAGAGCCTTCCTCTTCCCAGAGAAAATAATTCTCTTGACTTTTATTGAAATCCCTTTTTTGCTTTTTTTCTGATTTATGGTTTCCTGAATTTTTGAAATTTTATTTTTCTATAATGAACACAATCCTTTTTTTAATAAGACAAAGAAAGCTTTTCAAAACAAACTAAAACCAAAACCAAAACGTCTTTGTTCCTAGTTCAAAAGAGGAAAAGGCAAATTTACCTTCAATTTCATCATCAGAAATCAATTCATCATCTGAGCATATGTTGAGAATGTTAACCAGCATCTCTGTGACTAGATGATAAGACAAAATAACCCAAAATTTATATAATTAATAAGGTACTTTCTCTAAAATGATGTGGATATGCAAATTAACATACGTGTTAAATAAACATAGAGAAAAGTGATTTGTCATTTTGCTATGCAGAGTAGTTAGAAAGAGTAGCATTAAATGCAGACCTTCAGGTTTATACAGATTTTTTTTAGGGCGACTATAGTTAAATCTGGAGTCTTCCCATTTTACAAAGAAGTTAAGCCCCCAAGCCTGTGTACAACAGGATTACTTTGTATTTCACAGCTTCTTTGTACAGCTGCACAAGTGAAACTCTACAGACAACATATTCTATTTAAATCTCTTTATCGCTGAAGAAATCACTGAAGGAATGGTTATTCATTTTCTTGTTACTTATGTTATTTTAACATCTTGGTCATTACAGTAGGACAGTTACTTGAAATTGATACTTATTTTATTTTTTAAATTGATATTTAGGATACGAAAAGCATAGTCAACTAGAATTATAATTTATAAACCAAATAACTGGCATTTAAAAATCTTTGTAAAGAACAATGAAAAATAGGACACATTTCTGAAAACTTTAAGAGAAACATTCTGAACCCTGGGGGCTCTCGCAAATATAAAAGGTCAGTCACTAGTTACTAGGGCAACTGACGGTCCAGACACTTTCGTTCTCTTACCTTTTTCCCCAACAAAAGGCAAAGACCACGTGAAAACGTCCATAAAGTTCGGAAGCCAGTAGGGATGCGGAGAACAGTTAAACTGCCTGATATTCATGACATTGTTTTCATATTTTAACACAGCAGCTAAAACGGAAAAAGGAGGAAAATCTGGCACAGAGGAACGTGACACAGCAACTGGTATGCCTTTTCTTCTTTAATTTTCTTTTTGAGGGGGAGGTAATTAGGTTTATTTCTTTATTCGTTTTTAATGGAGGTACTGGGGATGGAACCCAGGACCTCGAGCATGCTAGGCACGTGCTCTGCCACTGAGCTACACCGTCCCCCCTGCAACTGGTAGGCTTTGTACAGCTGTGTACCTACTACACAGGATTCAGGAACTTACTTTCCATTTGTAAATTCAGGACTCAGTATTTAAGGGCAGATGCTAAATCTTAAAGCCTGCTATATGGTTCTTCTTCTTTTTTTTTTTTTTAAAGAATTATCCCAAGGAACAAAGTTACCTGAAGCTCAGATAACAGAAGTAAAAAAGCTAAGCTCTGAAACTTCAAAGGGTCTTACACGGTAACTATCTATAGAAATCTCAGATTCCACATAAGAAAAACTTCATCATAATTTCCCTTTATAGGCCAAATGGTTACGATTACTACTTTCCTTTGAGGGCAAACATGCTCATTAAATGGACACATCCTGTTTTGCTAGCCATTAGCTAGAGCCAAAGATTTTATAAACTTTCTAGGAGTTTATATCATAGCAGTTATTAAGTCATAGTGGGGGAATACAGATAGATGGTAAACCTGGAGCAAACGAAAACATGGTTCAAAAGTAGATGAAACCATCTCTGCATACAATATGTAAAAAAAAAAAACTGCCCATCTTTCCTATATCTAGTCAGTATATTGCTCACACTCTATAAATGTTAATATTACCGAGTTCATATATATATATTGCACATATACTTTGCTGCTAAACTGATTTCCTTTATATTTAAAACATTTAAAAATCCAATCCCTTAGTCTTCACCAGCAATGCAATGTGGTTTGTATTATCCTCTTAATTATTCTTACTATGATCATAAATAGAACAGGGTATGACAGATATCGGTCATCTCCTGGCTCCTGTTTCTTTGTTTATTGTAGGATAGTCCTGTATTCTCAGAATTTAGGTCACTGAATGTCTAAAAGGCATCACAGATTATAAAGAAAATATATGAAAGTAGGATCTTCAGCTTTTTAAGACCTAACACTGGGTATAACGTATATGTCCCATTATTTTCATGTATAAGTATTTTACTTAGGTTAGATAAATCTATAAATATTCAACAGTCCCCTCAAGCTACACAAGAAAAAGAGGTGGGAAGTGGACATAAAATTAGGAATAGAGACCTTTATAAATCATGACCTAAAGGTCTTTCACGTAACCAGCAGAACTAAGAATGCCTGTTGGTACCAGGAAGTCTAAAGAAAACGCTAGAAAGAGAAGCAACAGCAGAGGACAGAGAAGAAGGAAAGGGGGCTAGAGCTGTCTTTTTCAAGAAAAGAGGTACTTGTGTGGGGAATAACTGAAAACCACCACAGTTATTTCAGATGCCACATTTTCTTCCTTCCCCCACCCCCAAAAGCTTTAGCAACAACTAAGGAAAATAAGATTGTTTCAAGGTAAAGCCCGTTACCAGTTGTATCAGAGCCAACAAAAAACTCAGAAGGCACTGGGACTGTAAAAGTTTACTACAGGAGTAATCAAGGCCAAGACCAGATCAGAATGAGGCAGAGGACGAGCTGGCAGTTAGGAAGCTTGTGAAGGGACTGCTGATTTAGAGGACGTGTTTCAGCTTAGCACACTGGGCAGTCAGAAGACACTCTTAACAGTAAGGCTGAAAAAGGGAGTAAAAAGGGAAAGTCTTCATCACAAATACGAGGACCAGGGACACTACCTGTCCTTGAGGAAGCTTAACAACACAAGTGGCACGTACCAATCATAAGGGAGGAAACAAGGACAAAAACTTAGTCTCTAATATACTGGAAATATTAGGAAACAGGAAATAAGAAAGAATGGAGTTAGGGGAAAGCAGGGCACTGTGAGATAGCTAAGACTCAGAAAAGAATGATGAGAAGCAAAGAGAAAATATAAGCCTGGAGAAGAATTTAAGTCAAAGAAATGCCTTTTTAAAAATGGACAGCAGGTGACTAAGGACATCCAGAGATAACTGATTCAAATCAGACTGAGATGAGATGTGTCATTCCCTAGTTACTCTGAAGTGGAGGAAGTAAGTACACTGCGGACCTCTTGAAACCTCTCTCCCCAGCTGCGTACACAAGATACGACTATAAAGTAATGAGACTTAAGAAACCTCCAGCTCCAAACACACCAGACCTTACAGAGCAGACGAGTGTGGTCCTTTGATGTAATCACACCAGGCATAAGAACAGTAAAATGTTATAGTAGCAATTTATAGTTTGACTAATGCCTTTAATACTCATTTTGATTATTCTAACTTATCTTCAACAACCCTATATGACACCTAAAGATAAACGGGTGGTTGCAGAGAGGTTAAGTATCCTATGATCTGTGAATTTAAAAGTGAAGCAGGACTAGAACTAGGACTTCTGACTCCTAGCGTAGTGCTCTGATCAGTATACCTTGCTGCCTTACCACATATTTAATTCAAAGATGCTGCCATTACTCAAAATGTTTTTGGAACTCCTCTTTTGGAATTGCCTCCAGGGCCATTTTATAAGCAACACAAGAAAAACCAGTCTCATTACCTTATAATCATACCTTGTTTCCGACCCCAAGTGGTGCCGTCTAGCTTGATCACTCACCTTATTCATCAGTCTTGACTCCAAGTGACTTTTGGCTGTTCCAAAAATCAAATCCACCCTCAGAGGACGAAGATTTCCCATCATTGAGGATAATCAAAAGAATATGTCGCAGACTCTGAAGGCAATGCCAAGAGAGGAGTTCCACAAATGTTTTGAACAATGGCAGCATGGTTGGAATAAGTGTATAAGCTCCCACGGTAACTATTTTGAACGGGCAACACTCACTTGGATATATTCATTCTGGTATGTTTGTTTAAAAGTTCTATTATTTTACAGTCATACTTTATAAACAACAAAATAGTTATGGAGGTATGTTACAGAAGTTTTTAAGGTAGACCACTGCTCTGACACAAAACTTATGAACTAGGAATCCATAAAAGTTAAATTTAAAAAATGACTTTAGACTAAAATTAAGGTTCAGGAGTAGAATTTATGGATCAAGAGGTATGTGTATATTCAATTCTCTTTTTTACTATGGGAAATTGAGGTTAAGAAAGATTATGTGACTTACCTAAAGTCACACTATTCATTTCTGGCAGGGCTTGGACTAAAATGAAGATTTTTCTGACTTTTGTATAGTATTCATTCTACCTGTACCGTTTCTCAAGAACAGCAAAAATAGCTTAATAACTCACAAACATTAAAACACCAAATGGTGGTATTTTATTGAGGTACTATTATAAATAAATTAAATTCACCAAAACCAATCATTTATGCTGACTGCTCTAACTTGAACCTGAAGTAATTCATTCTTCTTACATTGTAAATAATACATAGTACAAATCAGACCTATATGATCCTTAGGAGATGAAAACCAAGCAGCAGCCTAAATTCTAAGTTTCTTGGCTTTTGTTTCCTTACTTTCTGTATGTTAAAAAAAACCTATGCACATACGTATGACTAAACTAGAGCCCACATTTACTCACAAACTCAAATATTGCTGGTCTCCTTTACCTTTATTGTTATAGACATCTAGGTAGTTGGGGGCAGAGAAAATTGTGATGAGTGATGGAAAACCCGTCGTTTGGCTCTTCCTGTACATTCGATACCTGGAAGAGAGAAGACAGCCCATCTATCTCGGTACTAAAGGCAAACACTCCGCAGTGCTGTCTGGCTCAGTTTTAACACGACTTACCCAGCGTCTTGCGCTTCATGGGCTCTGATTATAGACAACAAATTATTGTTCTGCAAAAATTCACAAACTGCAGGGTAACTGAAAAAGAAAATTAGAGAACATAACCCCAGAATTAAAACACTTGGCTTTTCAGTAGGAGGAAGGGGAAAAGTCAAGATGAAATGAGTTGAATTTGTTTCAAAATGATAGGTTTTCATTACCACTGAGCTCTTAGTAATAGCTTTGCACTAATCACTCTTGGTTTTCTATGTCACTGATACACCTCATTCCAGACCAAGTACGCAGTAACAGACAATCCTAGGACAGAAACAGAGCTCCCCTACCTTTTAATTTTTTTCTTAACCCATAACAATAATAATAAAACACCAAAACTGTTATTTTTAACACAATACAAATTGTTACAATTTTTATGGCGGTCGGCTTGACAACAACTCTCAATTATAAATGGCTGTGGCCCTTGATGCAGAAGTTCTACTTCTAAACTCAAAAAGCCTTATGTTCTTTATTTTAAACAATGTAAAGAGAAGTAACATTTGAATGATTTTATCATATTAGTCACTGCTAAAGTTGGCAGAAAGAAATGGAAAAAGGTTACTTAGAAGAATGTTAAAACTATGGCAAAATTGAAGCTTCTTTTTGTGTGTGAATTTCATTTTTTTCCCTCTCTTTTTTTTGAGGGGGGTGGAGGTTACTAGTTTAGTTTAGTTGTTCTTTTTTTCCCCCCACTGGGAATTGAACCCAGGACCTCATGCATGCTAAGCATGTGCTCTACCTGTTTGAGCTAAAGCCTCCCCACTGTGTGAATTTCATTTAATGAATGTATTATCTTAGGCAATTACCAGAGATTTGGGGGTACTAAACACAGATATTATTTATCAGAGTAAAATACCAGAATCAAAAAAAAAAAATTAGGCTTCAAACTTCTGAATCTCCCTGTTTTGGAGAGGCGAAGCACAGTGAAAGCTCACATATGAGATTTAAGACAACAACGAACTTCCAGGAAATGTCCTAGGCTTAGTTCACAATGTCCTGTTCTTTTTATATCTTTCCCTATATCAGTGGTTCCAAAAGCTGGAGAGCTTTCTAAAAAATAACAGGATTCCCTTATCGCGGGCTTACTGAATCAAAATCTCTGCGGGAAGAGCCAAGAAATCTTTATTTTTAAAATACTCAAGAGATGATGTTTGAGAACAAATAATCTAGATCATTTGAGTCAGACAACAACATTTAAGCACTGCAAGATGTTCTGTGTAATCCTGTTCAGTATATACACTTATTAGGGAATAGTAATTCATAGAATGTAAAAACAAACAAATAAACAAGACTTCTGCCTTCTATTAATCAAAAAATTAAATAGAAGTCTCTGAACTACTTTATAAATTCAAGATAAAAAACACATTTAAAAATAACTTGATAAAATATATTACAATTTCCTTTTCTAATGTTCTAACTGAGGATTAGCTTACCTGTAAAAATACGAGCACCCTCGGACCGTGTTGTGGGTATAGTGTTCCAAGGTCTTTTCACTGCCGTAATCCTCAGAGGGATCAGACCAAAGCAGGTCACACACTGGTCCAAAGGCTGGAGGTTCTTTAAACCTGTCTAACTAGAAGACACGCAAAAGCCAAAAGAAGAAAAATCATGAAAGCAAAAGAGCTTTTGAAAACTGGTATGGGTCAAAAAACAACAACAGAAAAAACACCCCACCCTTCCACCCACAAGAATGTATTAGGAGAGGGAGTGGTAAGCCCCTAAAGTATTTTCCTTTAGGGAGAAAATGAACACTTAACAAATTTAGGTGCACAATTTTAATTATTTTTTGGTAATAAGTTTATATAAATATCCCTGCCATCTAACCATACTATAGAAAAGGACCGCCTTCCACCCTAATCCTAAAAGCAGTGCTCATTTAATTTGAATGTGAAATCAATCACTATAGAAATATACTATTAATTAGAGAGACACCCCCACAAAGTTTATTGCAATTGCCTCAGTGAGCCAGTGTTACCATGAGAGCAGGAAGGGTTTCACAATGGTTCTGTTCATTGTTTACCTCATTCCAAAGGAGATTTCTTTATTTTAAATAATGCTAGTTTTCTATTGCAAACAGCTTTCAACAAAAGTTATTAACTTAAGCCTTTAGTCACAGCTGCTTTGGTTAAAAACATGAAAACCAAGGGAAAACAAGTAACTAGAACAGCTGACTATCAAGAAGAGAACTTCTACTAAGTGAAAGGGGAGCTTTTTATTAATATAACTGATTCGGAATTACAAAATTCAAGATTTACTATGTAAAAGAAACGCTGGTTATTTAATGACAATAAGGCGGCAGAAAAGGCAGTGCGTACAGGCGCACCCTCTTACTGAGGGGAGCAACTTTAACTCAGAGAAAACAGTTTCACAGACAGAAAACTCTTTAGTTTCAGCACATATAGAGAGAGGTAAGAAATACAAAGATAGAGAAGAGAAGATGTAGAGAACAACAATACGAGTGAAAAAAGACTGATCATCTTTTTTCAATCATGAAGAAACAGAATCCTGAAAATAATAATTACCAAGCGAGGCAAGTGCAGCAATTAAATTCTATCATCTGAAGTATCAAAGCCAATGGATTTGAGAGCTAGAAAGAGTCCTCAGACCATCCATTCCAACTTCCTCATTTCACACAGAAGAAAATCTGAGGTTAAGTGATTTGGTAAGGTTACACAATTAATGGCAGGGTAGGGACCAGAATCCTTCCTTCCTCACTGTAAGTGATTTGGTAAGGTTACACAATTAATGGCAGGGTAGGGACCAGAATCCTTCCTTCCTCACTGTTACATAATTCAAAGTTTCAGGGCTATACTCAAAAAACGTCATGTTTCTAGTTGGTAAAAGCACAGATTTCATTAAAGATGACAGACATATTCTGGACGATATATAGGAAAATGTTAAAAGTAGTTATTGACCAATAACAAGATCACAGGTGATTTCCATTTTCTTACTTTGAATTGTCTGTATTTAAAAATTTTCAGCAATAGACATATTAGTTGACTGCAATGCAAAACAAAATTTAAAATATATTTACTCCATGAGACTATTGAAAGATTACTTACTTTCCGAATGTCATCTAAACAGGTAATTTCAGGTGACATCCCTCCGTGTACACACAGAAACTGCTGGTTTAAGAGGGCGGCAAGAGGAAGACAGTCAAATGTATCCATACATGCATCGTACACCTGTTCAGAATATTTGATTCGACCTATCAAAAAAGGAAAAACAGGCAGAGGAGGAAAAGTTACAATTTATCATACATGAAAAAAGATACAGGCCAGATGATCATGAAGCTACTTCAAGACCATTTATTTCAGACAAGTTGGAAAACACAATCCTCTTTGTAAAGGTATTTTTGAGAATTTGTGGATAAAGGGCAAACAAAATCTCTCTCCTTTTCTAAAGACAAGTGTGACCTTGGATTAACTTTCTAGCTCTGCTGTCCTGGAAACCTGATAAGGTGAATGTCAGCTGTGTTATTAGGCAACAATGCTTATGGTAGAAATGACCCAATTACCTGGCGGAACCTATAGCTTTGGGCTTCTCTCAGTGCAGTGACTCCTAAGGCATGTCCCTTGTGGGACCCTGGAAGCTGTGCCAGTAAAGCTTCTACAAGAGATACTGGCCCTTGTGACACATCAGGCTTCTAAGGCAGGGTGGCTCCCTGATCTGCCCAGTGTGGATACTGCTTGTTTGCACCTGTACTGTGACTAGGCGAGGGTGGGGGAAAGGGAGGCAGACGGCAGAAAACCTCCGGACAGCTGTATGCACTCCTGTGAGGGCTGCTCCACTGAAAAGGGATGCCTGGTACTGCCCTTCCTGGGCTGGACTCTTCTAGGATGGATGCCAAACATGCCCCGTGGTACTCTTGTGAGTCTGACTATGCTGCGGGGTCTAAAACACCCTCCTGGTGGTGTTGAAGATATATAAATAGAAACAAGTCTTAGGAGTCATCAATAAAAGGTCAATGCTATTTTTGCTCATGATTTTGAAGGTCTTTAAGCAAATTATGTTCTGATTCTATCTTATATAAAAATGTTCATCTCAGTGAACTGTATCTTGATGTGGTTGTCACACTGGGGCTACAGAACAAGGAAATGCTCCAGTGGGTGGGGGGTGGGGGGGGTTCCACTATCCAGAAAGAACAGGTCATGGAATAATAGTTAACTGGAAGATGGCTTCAGTTTAAAGAGAAAGGACACATTTTCTTCTTCATTGTCCTTGGAGTTCAGAAAGTCAAGCTGTGCTAGGAGGTGCACGTTGGTAAAGGCCAGAAGGCAGGCCTATAGGCAGGCAGCCCTATACAACTGTGAGCTCCTTCTCCTCTTCCAAGATTTTGTGAAGATGAGACAAAGCCTACTGGACCCAGAGAACAAAGCTACAGAAAGTGAGTCAGACAATCTGGTTGGTAATTATTTCTGTGTATGTTTCCTTCTTGTAATCTCCAAGCTTTTAGAAAAGATATGTTCAAGTATCAGAGCCTGGTCTTGGCAAGGCTTTGGGGAATAAAGTAAAGGGTGGTGGGTCCAGATTTGGGTCAGAGTGCAGTACGTCTGTAGCAGGAATGACTCAAGAGAGATCCCTAAAGGGAAGTTGTAACCAGTGGACCACACTTGAGGTCATAAGGCTTTCCATTCCTGAAGGTAAAGACTGTCTCTTTACTGCCAATACTAATCAGGATTTGAGGGCATTAAGGGAGCCTGTGGGTTCCTTAAGAAACTTTTAGAGCATTCTGAACTATCATGACAGCAGTTAAGAGCATCTATTTCACAATATATGTTAACTCTTCTACGACATCTAAGTTAATAAGAGCCATGTCTTCTGCATCTTTGTATCTCCTTGCAATTACATCCTTAAATTCTACTTTGTATTTAAACACTGTATGTTTGGCTATTTCAAAAGTAGATCCAGCATTGGTCATAGTGTGCTGAAGGAAAACAATCAAGGAAAAAGCCCATTTCATTTGTAGCCAGTGATTGACTTTTTCTCCTGAAAATTCACGGAGCCAGAGTTCCCTCTGTTGCCAACATCAATAAGGAATTCCTTTGTAAGAGTCCCAAGGTTGCATGTAGGCAGGAATTTTAATTACTTACTAATTCATGCTCCAAACACCATTTTAGATTAATAAAATGCCTTTCAACCCTAAGAATGACTCAAAGGAATTCCTTAGTATACTTCCAAAAGAATGCCAAGTCTGGAGACAGATGGTGAGTAATACAGTGTCTTTATCCTTTTTGTAAATTAGAACAGGTCACAAATAAAATTACGCAAAAAGAAGTTTATGTTATATTAACACACAATCAAAACAGGTTACAAAATGTTACCATTTTTATTTTCTTAGTTTATGAATACATACCAACATTTTTATTTTCTGAGGGGTTAGACTGAAGATGACTTAGTTTAGCTGTGTTTTCCAGGATTGGTATATAATCTTTGTACAGTAACACTTATTATTATATTACCTTTACTGTTGAAATTTGTTGAAGGCTCACAATGTACCTGTGCCATCAGTGAGTTCAGTGTTCAGCACAGTGGACTGGAGTCTGGAGCCTGACTGCCTGGACTCCAACCTCAGCTCCACCACTAACTCGTATAGGACTTTGGATAAACTTCTTAACTCTCTCTGTTTTTACTTCTTCTTCTATAAAACAGGCCTAACAATAACACCCACCTACATTACAAGGTACTACGTCAGTGTTAACCAACAGAATTACCGTATTTTATCCTCACAGAAACCCTGTGAAGTAGGTACTACCGCTTCCTTCATTAAACAGCTGAGGAAACTGGGCTCACTAGTCCAAAGCTGCGAGCCAGGAAGTGGCGGAGCTGGAACGTGAACCTGTTCATGCTCTTAACATAATGCAACACTCCTCCCAATGGCTGGGTGGTTGTTTTTTTAAATTTTGATTAAAAAAAAAATGGGGGGGGGATTAGGTTTGTTTTTAATAGAGGTACTGGGCATTGAACCCAGGACCTTGTGCACGCTAAGCACGCACTTCATGCTAAGCTATACTCTCCCTACAAGGTTGTTTTTAAATTAAATTATTTAGTAGGAGAATCTAAATATATATATATAATGACCAAATATATAATGACCAAAGGTTAAGCTAGCTGACTCAAGTGTTTTATTTTCCTGACACATTTTAAGGTATGTCCCATAAAACAACTATTTCTATAGTAAAGGAAACACGCACCTCAGGCATAGGATCACACTGAGACAAGTCCTAACAAGTATCAATAATGTAACATCAACAAACAAAATTCTCAACAATATTCTTTAAAAATAATTTTGAGAGTCAGCACTATTTGCAAGAAACCATGAACTGGTCTAAACAGTGATTACATATTTGTTTTACTTTTCATTTACTTTCAATATTTTTTTTAAAAGGTGCTACATTTACATGGTTCAAAATTCAAAAGCTGCAAAAAGGTATATAGTGCCTCCTCCCCCTCTCTGCAGGCAGCCAGTATTACTAGTTTCCCAGGTGTCTTTACAAAGATATTCTATACACACACATGCAGATATGGACACTTACTCCCTTTTCACAACATCCTCTTGTTTTTTTTACATAAATGCAGCATATGTACAGTATTTTCACTTGCTTTTTGCAACAAAATAACATATTTTGGAGATAATGCCACACTGTTATATGAAGAGCTTTGTAATTTTTTATAATATCTATATAATATTTTGTCTTATGGATATGCCACAATCTAACCATGCAAATCTCTCGCTGCTATAAACAATGCTACTATAAGTAATGAACAATGGCAAACAATATTTATTAAAAAAATGAATCTGTCGTAACAATACTGTTTTCATTAGCAAAATTACAGGAGTTTCTGGTACCTGTTAGTAAGTTATTTAACTACACATCAAAAAAACGGCTCTTGGAAACAAAAAATTAATTTACTTTAGAAATTTGGACCCAGAGCTATGAGATGGAATCATAAAAGCACCAGCTTTCTTGCTTTTCAAATATATAACAATAAAGAAATGTTTTTGCAAAGATAAAAATGTCAAAAATTAACATTATACTTTGCTACTCAAATTACCTCTGGATTTGAAAGAAGTATTTTTAAAAACTCTGTAATATAAAGCACTTTAAAAATTGATATAAGAAAAGAAAACCCTCCACCTGCTCCCCTTAGAAATATTAACACAAGTGCAGCTGCACAATTTGGAACTAAGCATAAGTTGGCAGTAATTATAAGGTGTTGATTCTAAATGCCACAGTGGCCCTTTAAGAGAGATCAGTAAAACACTCATGTAAAGCAGCACACACTCTCCTTCCCTTACATAGGAATAAAATCTGAACTCGTACGTGAACTTGTGTGTTCGTTCCAAGATTTATTTACATTTCAGATATAGAATTAGAATGAAACAGGAGTATCTTGGCAGATAAGAGAAAAAGAAAGAAACCTGGTTTAACTAAATTAAAGCACATGAAAAGCAAATAAAAACCTGAGATAAAAAATTCTATGGAAAATAAGACACTTAAAATACTTCCCAAATGCACTGTTCCATCCTCTAAAATCAGCCTGAACCAATTATACTAATCAAAAAAAGAACTCTGAAAAAATAGAGAAAAAAACCCTGAATCTTAATTCAAAGGGACATCCATACAAAGCTTTCTTCATTACTTACCTATTGCTAAATACTGAGCATTCTAGGGCCTTTGTTAACTGCTTGACAGGCATTATTTAGTTTCCCCAGGTAAAGAAATAGAAGTGTAACGATGAACACCCCAATATTTGGCTTAGAAAAACAATGCAAAATATTTCCAATTTTTAAACTACTTGATGAAGTGGTTCTCAAAGGACTAATAGTAGATACTTTCCGGCCCTCTGGAACAGGTTATTTTAACCGGTGGCATGCTACAGAATTACCTAGGATGCTTAAAAAAGTCTTTTAAGTGACTGGACCCCAGTAGGATAATTTTAAAGTTGTCAGTTTAAAAAAGTGTTATAATAGTAGTACACAGTGGTGATGAAAAGATAATTCAAGCAGTCCTATGGGAAGATGGAAAATTAGAAGTCCTCCTGATTCAACTCCCCTCAGGTAATCACTGCGACCAATTTCTTCTGCACATTATGTATTTTCAATTTACAAAGGAGATCACATTATATGTGTTCTGCAAATGGCTTCGGTCACCTAACAATATATTTGAACATCTCTCCCTATCAGCACATCTATATTCACCTTGATATTTCAACAGCTGCCTAGCATTCCATTTTTCAGATGTATTATCATTTATTTAAGCAGTCCCTTATTGACATTAAGATTCTCTTTTTTTTTTTGCTAATACAATTAACACTTTAATGAACATCTTTATACATCCACGTCTTATCTTTTTGAGTATACAGTGTAGTAGGCAGAATTCTAAAATGACCTGCAATTTGTATAATCTGTGCCCCTGTGAGTGGGTGGCAGTTGTAAATATGTTGAGACTCCCATGATTACGTATCATGGCAAAAGAGAGATTCTTCTGGGTGGGCCTGGCCTAATCAGGTGACCCTCTGAAAAGCAGAGAATTTTTCTCCAGCTGGCTGATCACAGAAGAGGAAGGCAGAGAGATGCATTTGCGCTGCTTGGAAGAAAGCATGTTGTGAAATACCTATAGAGCTCTGTGGCAAGGAACTGCAAGCAATCTCTAGAAGCTGAGGGCAGTCTCTAGCCAACAACTAACAGGAAAATAGAGACATTAATCCTACAGTCACAAGGACTGCCAACAACTAGTGAGCTTGGAAGATACCAAGCTCCAGAGGAGAACTACAGCCCTGGTGACACTTTAACTTTTGATTCAGCAAGACCCTCAGGAGTGAATTTAGCCACACTGTGCCTGGACTTCTGACCTCAAGTAACTGTGATATAATAAATGTTGCTATAAGCAGCTAAGTTTATAATAATTTGTTATGTGGCATTAAAAAAAATACAATCTGCATGACAAGTTCCTAGAAGCCAAACTGCTGGGTCAAGCATTTTTACAGATATTCCAAACAACTTAAACACTCACCAATAGTAGACCTAATTTGTTTTAATTTCCTGATTAATTGCTTATGATTTAAAGTGTTTATTTCATTAAGTTTCAAGGGCTGGAATGATATATATCTTGCCCATCTGTAGCTGACTTTTCTCTCTTGGGATTTTTTAAAGTGTTCACACACTAAAATTTCTTGTAGTTAAGAACGGACTTTCCTTTCAGGCTCTACTAGGAGGAAGGCTGCATCACAACTGCCATCTCCAACGTAAGAAGCTATTGCTAACAAGAGCTAATATAAGCGTCCAGAGCAACATCAAACTGTAATCTACTTGTAAGTAATGGGACTTGGTGAGGGGGAGTTGGATAAACTCTTAGTCTCTGAAAACAAATTTAAAAGATTTTTTTCAATTTTGAATATTCTTTTGGGAATAAAACTTTAAATATGCTATAATACATTCCTCCAAAATAATAATCTGAAGGGAAATCTGAATAGCACACAAAGTGAAATCCATGATCAAAAGATCAATTTATGAACACAAGTATTTTTATATATTCAGGATTATTTGGGGACAGAGGTAGATTTTAGAGCCAGATAAGACTCAACAGATTATTTTTGCTTTCTTATTTCATAGAGAATATACTAATATTTTAGAAATCAGAAAAGGTATAATTTTGTTTTCTTATTTTAATATTGTCCTTTCACTATAAAAATATGAAAGTTCTTTGGAGTACAAACTGATACATAATTTTTTGGAGGGCTAGAGTATGTATCAAAGCCCCCTAACATGTTCATGCCCCCTAACACCTAATAATTATTTTCTGAGAGTCTGTCCTAAAGATGTAAAGCATAGATACCATTCATTCAACAAGTTAATTCAACCAATATTTACTAAGGATAGACTATGATTTATTAGATACTGTTTTAGAAAAACAACAGTGAACAAAACATGTCCCTGGTGTCATGGAGTGTAAATTCTGGTGGGAGAGAAAGACAATAAACAAATAAATATACTTTAAAATATATAATTTTCATATATAGAACATAAACAATTTCAGTTATTGATAGACTTTTTTTCTAAAGCAGGGTTTGAGAATAAAGTGATGAGATTTTAATTTAGAAAAAGCAATCAGGGAAGGAAATCTCTGAAGAGATGACATAAATGAAGTAAGGATGTAGGTCTTATAAGCAGATAGATACCTGGGGAAACAAGAAATGGTAAGTGCAAATGCCCTGGGGCAAGTTCTCCCAAACAAGCCCAAGAGAGTCACCATCACACTGAATGTGATGTAGAACCAACTGTGAGTACTTAGATTCTGGTCAAAGAAATCTGTGAGGTTTTTGTTTCTGTTTTTTTTAAAATCAGCTTGTAATGTTTTGATTTTCAAAACACTTTAACTTTAATAATAATTTTTTTGTACTATTACAGTATTATCTATAGTTGGAAACAACTTAAATGTCCTAAAGTTGCTACTAAATTGGCCACATACGATTCATTCTTGTGTATTCATAAGACAGAATACTTTAAAAACATTAAAGTAACATTTTAAAATCATGTTAAAAATACTTAATGATATGGAAAATGTTATATAACATGAAAAGATCAATCTATTAATATTAAACAGCACATAAAATATGAGCCCCATTTTATTTTAAAAATATATACAGTTGACTTTCCATGTCTGTGGATTCCACATCCATGGATTCAACCAACTATGGATCTAAAATATTCAGGGGGGAAAAGAATTCCAGAAAGTTACAACATGCAAAATTTGAATTTGCCATGGCCAGCGACTATTTACATGATATTTATATTGTATTTACAACTATCTATGTAGTATTTACATGGTATTAGATATTATATATAATCTAGAGGCAACTTAAAGTATATGGGAAAATATATGAAGGTTACATGAAAATACTATGCCATTTTATGTAAGGGACTTGAGAATCTGTGGATTTTGGTATCTGTGAGGGACTTGGAACGAGTCCCTGGAGATACTGAGGGACGAATGAACAGACACATACATATTTTTGAACTATTTCATGATAGGTTTTGACATACACAGAAAAAGAATTGAAGACTATACCTCAAATAGCGAGATAAAAAGGTGGTATTTTTAAGTGGTGTGATTGTGGACAATTTTTTATCTTCTTTGGACTTTTTAAATATTTTCGAAATATCCCAAATGTATTACTTATAAACACAGGGGGGAACCCAAAATTTACTTTCGAAACAGATGTCTTAAAAGGTGAAATCTAGGTTCTTACCAGAAAAAACAAACAGAACAGGAAGCATTTGAGGTCCATTAGTTTCTTTTTGCTTTGTATGTGATTCACTGTGTGACTCGCTAAATGGAAACTAAAAAAATTCTGGAGAAGTGATTATACTTACATTCCTGTTTGAAGGTGAAATATTCTGTAAGATGCCTGCATTCATGATTTCCCCGAAGCAGAAACAATGTTTTAGGATGATTAATCTTTAAACTCCATAAAAATAGTACACACTACAAGACAAACACAAGGATAAAATTTTTAGTTTTGATCAATGCACAAAGAATTTATACCAACTCAAGGACTTGTTGTAATGGCATATCTCATTGCTATTCCCAAGTTGAAAGAGGAAGAATTCCACCTCTGGGTGGGGGCGGGGTCCAGGGAGTTAGGTTTATTTATTTGTTTTTTCAGAGGAGGTACTGGGGATTGAACCCTGGACCGCCTACATGCTAAGCATGTGCTCTACCACTTGAGCTATACCCTCCCCACTCCCTAACTTCCAGTTTTTGAATGTGGTCTCCTGTTGCCCCAGAATCTGAAAGAGCATAAGAGAGCAGCCTTCATAGAAATCTTTTCTTAATTTCTGTTTTCATGTCCTATCCAAGTATCTAGAACTCTATGACAAAGCCACCCTCACACAATACCTTAGTCCTAAAATCTGTATTTTATTTAGTAGAGAAATAAAAGAGACATTTCCACTAAAATCAGGAACAAGGAAGGATATCCACTATCATTACTACTATTCAACATTGTACTAGAGGTATTAGTCAATTGAATTAGACAAATCAATTAGAGGCTTAAGAAAGAATAAAGAAAAAATAAAACGATCTCTGTTTGCACATGATACAATAGCACACCTGATAAACTCCAGAAAAATCAATGATACAACTAACTAAACTAATAAAAAATTCAGTAACATGGCAGGATATAAAATTAACATACAAAATCAATAGCTTTCATATACACAAACAATAAATAGGACACAATGATAGAAAAAACTCCATTTACAATAGCAGCAAAGAAGATTAAACACAGAGGAATAAATTTAACAAGAAATGTGCAAAAGTCATCCCAGGAAAAACTAAAGGTATGTACCATTTTCCCTAGCAATCTCACTCTTGTCTATAAACCACAGAGAAACTAAAACATGGAACTAGAAGTGATTTTGTATAAGGGTATTCCTCACAACAGTGTTCATTATAGAAAGAAGCTGGAGGCAACCTAGGTGTCTGCCGTTGAGAACAGGGAACTAAAATGTCATAGATGTATACCATGGAATACTATATAGCAGAGAAAAATAAACGAACTGGAGACATATAGAAACCCAGATAGATCTTGAAAACACAAGTGAAAACCAAAATCAACAGAAAAAGAGCTACAGCAGTGGTTCTCAGTGTGGTCACAGTTATCTCAAAGTGTGGTACATCAGCATCACACAGGAACTTGTTAGAAGTTTGGATCCTCAGGCTCTACCCCAGATCTAAAGAATCAGAAATTTTTGGGTGGGGCCCAGCAATCTGTTTTTGAACACATCCTCTAGGTAATCATGATGCATGCTGAAGTTTGAGAACAACTGGATGGCACATAATGTTCATGTAAAATTAAAATACTTTATCCACAAAAATCTTACATATTAAAAAGGTAATATAATATATATATTCTGAATACATACAACATACATACATACAACAGAAACACATATACTAGCAAAGGCTAGTAATAAAAGTACCAAGACCTGAAGAGCTTGATTAATTCAACTGAGATTTCCCATCTCCTGAAAAAGGAAAGAGTTCAAATTCTGAAACCAAATGCTTCTCAATATGCTTAATCTAAGCTGAGAACATCTCTAGCCTATGCTTCCTGGATGAGATTCCTTTCTGGTTGCCCTGTTCCCACTCTAGGGCTCCCATAGTCAGTCTACCACATAACAGCCAGAATAATTGTTTTAAAAAACATAAATGTCAATATGTAACTGCCTTGCTTAAAAAACAAACAGAAAGCTCCAATGGCTTCCCTGTGCATTCATAATAAAACCCAAACTCCTCACCATGGTTTGCAAGGCCTGACGTCACGTAATCCCGGCCTATCTCTCTGATACGTGGTCTACATCTTCCCCTCACTCACTCTGTCTAGCCATGATGGCCTTGTTACTATTCCTGGGCTGCCTTCGGCTCGCTCCTTCCTCAGAGCTTTTACACTTGATATGTCCTCTGCCTGGAATGTACTCACTCCACCTCCATCTATGCCTGGCTCATTCCCTCAGGTCATTCAAGTTACTGTTCAAACGTTACCTCTTCAGACAGGATTTCCCTGATCTTCATCTAAATTAGCTACTCCTGTCCCCCTTTGGCCCCTTACCCTGATTTGATTTTCAGAGACACTGCACCAGTATAAGATGCTGTCTCTCTCACTAGAAAACACAATAAAGGACTTGGCTTTGTTTGTTCATCTCCACATCCCCAGAATTTAACAATGTCTCTCAACATGGGTACTATTAACAAGCATAATTCTTTGTTGCAGGATGTTTTATATTATTCCTTTACCTTGCTCATTAAATGTCAACAGAACTTCTCAACTATTGTGACAAACTACTCACTCATATGTCATTGTACATAATTATGAGTACATTTGCAGTATAATTTCTCAAAATGAAATTGTTGGGTCAAAATATATGTACATTTTATTTGAGACAGACATCGCAAAATAAACATTATAAAATGTAACTAAACAGACACATACAGATCTACTTGGATGGCTTTTTTCTTTTCTTGGCTGACTTTCGTTTTCAACATATCAACTTATATCCCAAGGAAACTATTACATTACATTCATATATAAACTTAACACTTTCTCTTTTCTGTACTTACCTATCCCAATCAAGAACATGATACATCCTTTGATTTATCTGGGTCTTTATGCCTGCCTCCTGAAATGACCAACTAACCTTTTTGAAGTAATGACTTACAAAAGCACAATTCTTATCTACACTACAATGTAACTTGGTTGATATACTTCTCAGCCTTTAATCTCAAGTTTTATTTCCTTATATGATACACCAGGATGCAACTGTACAATTATCTTGTACACATCAATTAAAGGTCATAGTTATCAGAAGATCTACTCAGATACTCAATTACTTCTGTATTTCTATGTGAACGGAATTTTTACTCCCACCTCAAGAATCATTTCTGTATGTCAACAACTGTTCATTAGCTGCTCATCCAGTAACATTCCCATCCCCTGGACATCTGATAACTCACTTTGGTGGCTCCTTTGTGCTTAGTACAACATATCCTATGCTGAAAGTGTTCCCTTTAATCCTTTCTCTTATTATAAAATCAATTAAGGGAAACTAAAATTTAACTTCGCCTACTGCAGAGGAAGTACTTTATAATGGGTACAAACGAAGAAGGAACATCAAAAGGCTCAAAAAAAGTGAAGCTTTACTATTCTGTTTTATCAGTGACTTCTGTATCAGTCACTGGTGCACTATCAAAGCCCCACACTGCTTCAGGAAAGATCAATGCTTGCTCTGGGCATGAAAAAAAAATAATGCCTTGCTTCTCTCATAAAGATTAAGGAATGAGAAATTATTAAGTATGGAAAGAGAAAATAAAGTGAAATAAGGTTCTATGAGAATGATTTGGCAATACGTATCAAAAGTCTTAAAAATGCTCACGCTCTTAAAAATAGCTCACCAGCTATTTTACTTGTAAGAATCCAGTCTAAGGAAATATCAGAAATGCTATTAAAGATGTATTTCAAAAAGATGTTAACTGCAGCAATAAGCAGAATGGAAATAACTGGAAAACAACCTTGTACCACTTCCAGTACAAGTGATAAAATATCCAACTAACTATCGCTTAAGCCATGAAGATATTTAAATATCTCAGGAAACAAGCAGTCTGGAGGTAAGATGTCCAGGTTCAGTGAACCAGCTCAACATCTTCCCCAAGAAATCATGCCCTCTCTACCTTTGTGATCTGTGATTCACAGCAAGCCTGCTTTTCATTCTTAGTTATAGCACCTCCTCATGGTCATAGAATGGCTGCTACAGCACACACACCCATGTTTGAAATGACATAGTGGAATGGGAGTCCAAGAGCTTTAAGCTTGCAAGAGTCTTTTCATCTGGAAAGAAAATTTTTCAAAACGACACACGCAAAAACAACAAAACAACCTGCAGAGCTCCCTTTATATATTAGTGGACAAAAGAAGATCCCACGTTTACCCCATGTCTAATCCCCAGAGGCAGGGAATGGCTTGCCAAGACTAGTGCAGACCAACCAGAATTCATTCCCTGGAGCTAGGACAAGGGCCTTCCTTTTCTGAAGTTAAAAGCTCTCCCTGAAACCCCAATCCCATTTATCTGAACAAAACAGGGATTTCAATAATAAGGAAGAAGGAGAGAATACATAGGCAATAAGCAGTACCTTCTACAAACTTAATTATCCAACAATAGAGGCATGGTGAAATAAACTATGGTATTTATTCTGACAAGTGTATTTTTTTTTAATTTTTTTATTTATTTCTTTAGTGGGAGGAGGTAATTAGGTTTATTTGTTTTCAAGTGGCAGAACTGAGGATTGAACCCAGGACCTCATGTACGCTAAGCATGTGCTCTACCACTGAGCTATATCCTCTTCCCTAAACTATGGTATTTATATCATTAACCGCACTTCTGGAGAAATTTTAATGATACAGAAAAATACTTTCAATATAATGTTGAGTCGTGGGGGTGGGGAAGACTACAAAAAAAGACAGCAAAGGAGAATGCACAAGTGAACTCAATTTTCTTTAAAAAAAATATACACGAAGAAAAAAGACCACAAGGGAATATAACGATGTTAACAATAATTACCTCACTTATAAGTCTTTGTTTTCTTTGATTCTGCAATTCCTAATTTTTCTACCAAAAAATGACTATTTATAACAGAAAACTGTAATAGGGGCTCCATTACCTTACTTTTCTCCATTTGACAAAAACATCACACTCATGCTTATCAAGGACTTTGATTTAAAAAATTATTGTTCAAGTGTATACTTGTATCATGTTAGACTAAACTGTAGCTTACAGAAATCTATAATCTTAGTGGTTTATAAGTAAGCGACTTCCAACTAACATTTGATATATCCTACAGTTCAGTTTTAAAATTGGTATAATATAGCATTGTCACTTCAAAAGCTTGATTCATTTACCTCTTAAGCTATTAGAGAAAAACATTTTAAGTTAGTCAAACAACAAATAACAGGATAAAGCCAAATACAAACTATGATTTATTAACATTTATTCAGTCAACAAATATTGAGTGCTTACTATGTGTTAGGCATTGTGCTCAGTTTTAATATGAAGAATATTGCTAATAATTAAATACTTTCATATTATACTAAACAATCTGTTCATAAATGTATCTTTTCTGTTAGACTTCAGTTCATATGGCAATCAAAAATCCTATTTATTATTTTATCCTCAGAGCCTACCATAAAGTTGGCACTCAGGAAACATTTGCTGATGAGGGAGGGAAAAAATATGTAATAAAATATTCTGAACATGGTATACGTGTACAAAAATCATTGTGGGTTTTTTGTGTGTATATTGTGAATATACTGATGCATTGAAAGTACTTTTAAAGTATGTGAGTTAACAATCAGAAGATGATTTGGCACAATATTTATCCTTTTTTAAAAAACTGAAGTATAGTCGATTTACAATATTGTGTTAATTTCTGGTGCACAGCATAGTAATTCAGTTATATATATATACACTCCTTTTCATATTCTTTTACATTATAGGTTATTACAAGACATTGAATATAGTTCCCTGAGCTACACAGTAGGAACCCTGTTATTTATCCATTTTATATAGAGTAATTAGTATCTGCAAATCCTGAACTCCCAATTTATCTCCTCCATCCCCTTTCCCCCCTGGTAACCATAAGTTTGTATTCTATGTTTGAGTCTATCTCTGTTTTATAAATAAGTTCATTTGTGTCCTTTTTTTAGATCCCACATAATAGTGATACAATATGGTAGCTTTTAAAAGTCATTTCATTAAATAAAATGACTAATTAAAAATTCATTAAGTTCTGTATTCCTCTCTCCAGCCTTTAAAACCTCCTCATGCTACTAAACACACAAAGAACTAAGCATTCAGTGCATCTTTCAAACACCCATCCTTTTGACACACTGTCTATTGAAACATGATGTGAATAGGAAAAGGGAAGCTTTTTTTTGTAACTGAGTTATAATCAGGAAAAGGGAAGCTTTTAATGATAGAGTCTGCAAGTATGATTTCTACCCATCTCAGGTCTCTATTCAGAGACGCTGGGCGTTTATGGAGCAGCAGGAAAAACGTGCTTCTTTTCTTAGCTTCTGCCATTAACTTTTGTCCTCATGGATGATACTAAATGAATTTGAGACTCTGGCAAAATAACACTGAACTTTTCTGATTCATGAATTTAGACCGCCTGTCTAACTAAGGAGTAAGACATTATTTCCCGGTCGTTTGTCTTTCTGGCAGCTTTAAAACCGCTGCTGCTGCTTTGTTTGAGTACCAGGTGAGAGAGCTGACTTGCACTTAGGAGTGATGCTGCATGAACAATAAATATTCAACTCCAGAAACAAACTTAGCACAGTGAGATTCCCACACTATGAGGGAGACGCAGAACTAAAGACTGCAAGAACCCAGCAAGCGGACTCAATTTCTCATCTTATGCTTATTCTGGGGACATTATAAATTCAATTACTTGCACTATTTAGAAAGTCACTTCTCTTTTATTTGCCAAACATGTACGGCTGAATCAATGGACATTAAATATGAATGCTCTGTGGTTCCACTGTACTCAAGTCCTTCCATTAGGTTTTAAAAGTTTTATCTTTTATACATAAAAACTTATACTTTGTTTTAATTCTAACCATTTTCCTGTCATCACACAATTTTCAAAATATATAAAAGTGAATTGTGAGTTTTCATTAACTTCATTAACGGTAGTCATTTTTTTCCTTCAATGAACATTTAAGTACTTTTTATGTGCAACAGAATTTATTCTAACAATAGGCTAAGTGCTTGCTTATTTAGCCTTAATCTAAGTATTCAGTGTAGCCCAGCAACTTATGGTTTTATAATTGAGGTGAGCTAATCCAAACTCCACTTAGGGTGAATAACAATTTATGTCATTTATATACAGCCTGGACACTATCTACAAAGAGGAAAGCTTGGTAAACAGTTAACCTACTTGCAAAGCTGGGTTAACATAGCCTTCTCTATGTCAGATTTTTATTGGCTAATAGAAAGAATAGTTTTTTATATCAATTTTTTAAATGTTTCTCTATCATTTTAATTATTGAAAGTAGCAGTTTATAAATTCTCCCAGGATTCTCATTTTAATTTCTTCTAGTAAAGGATGGACAGAAAAAAGTTTTTAAAAGACAGTATGATAGTTCCTAGTAAGCCAGAAAGAAAGAAAAATATCATATGATATCACTTATATGTGGACTCTAAAAAGAAAAGACAAACCAACTTATTTACGAAACAGAAACAGGCTCACAGACATAGAAAACAAACTTCTGGTTACCAGGGGGTGAAGAAGGTAGGAAGGGATAAATTGGGAGTTGGAGATTTGCAGATACTAACTACTATATAAGAAACAGATAAACAAGTTTATACCGTATAGTACAGGGAACTATAGTCAATATCTTGTAGTAACTTACGGTTAAAAAGAATACGAAAACGAATATATGCGTGTTCCTATATGACCAAAGTATTGTGCTGTGCACCAGAAATTGACACATTGTAAACTGACTATACTTCAATAAAAATATACTTAAAAAAAAGACAATATGAAAGTTCCAACACATCCCGTTTAATTTTTACCTCTATGCTGAAATAGCCTCTGTCCACATAGTCGCCCAGAAAGAGGTAGCGTGTGTTACTAGGTGATCCTCCAACTTCAAACAACTTCATCAGGTCAAAGAATTGTCCGTGAATATCACCACATACTAGGAAAAAAAACAGACATAAGGTGAGGTGAAAAATTACGTCTCAGAAGAGAAAGGGACCACAGTTTAACTTCAATTGCTCTAGCTTTTGACTGGACTGCTCCATAATTACAGTAAATCTACCAATACTGAATAGTCCTACTGGAATTATTAGACATTTTAAATTGTATTTCTTCAATGAATAACAAACAAACCAAACAATCCTAAACTGCTCACAATTCCTAGAATAATTATCACACATTTTAGTTGGTTATTTGTCATCATTTCTCAAATTAGCTAAGATCTAAGTACCACTGGGCAAATACTTCTCATACCCGTGATTGGAGCTTCTACTTCTATCATAGTCTTTTCTTGTCTCAGGATGGCAGCCCCATCATTGATTATCTTTAAGGCTACTTCCTCTTCCAGTCGCCCTTCCTTCACCAAATGGTTTTTCAAAACATCAATTTTAGGTTTCCCATTCTCAAATACTTCCTTCAAAGTAAGCCGTTGGGTTGGAGGAAAGGGGACAGCTGGAAAGAGAAAAAAAAATAGTTAAATTTATACAGAATAACCATAAACTCATTTCTTTTATGTAGCAAATTAAACCTAATACATCACCATGATTTCACATCCACAACACCAGAACTACATGGGGAAAAAAATCAAAGATATTACATATTAGCGATCATCAATTCTAACTTTTAAAAAGACCAGAGTTAAAGTCAAAGTCATTTAAAAGATATACGTGTATCTATAATGTTTTACATATAAACATAAAAGACCTGAAGTTGATTCAGTAAATGAGCTGAAAGTGAGACAAGGGACTAGATATGAGTATCTTTTATCTATGGAAAAGGTGTTAAAAATGAAACTATGCTTTTAAAAAAACGAAGGAAAAGAAATCACAACACTAAATGGGCATTTATTTCTTTCAAAGAACATGAAACCATGTTCATGAAACTATGTTTCAGATGTCTGACTTCAGTTCCTGATCAGGGGAATCACAGATTTTCTTACGAATGTATGTACATATTATATATGAAAAGGTAGTTGCTTAAAATATTGCTGATAACAAGAGCACCACTACAAGACGGAGCTCGTCCAGAGAACAACGCGCTGTAGTGACAGAGCATGAACTTGAGAAGAGCAGACATGGGAGCTCTAGTTGTGTTTTCTAATCTGGAAACGCTAACAACTAACTTCAGTTTACACTGGATATGAGGTTATATATAAAATCATGTTAAATTAGCAACTTTAACAGAAAAAAATTTTTGACATTGTAAAACTGGCTATAATCTCTTCTTTTACCTACCTTACGATGTGATCTACTTTAGATTCCCTGTGATCTAACAGCCACATGTCTATAAACTGTAAGTTTTAAAGGAGGGGTTCATCTCAATTTATGATTTATGTCTGGTGGTTCTACTTGGAGCTTTATGGGAGTGTTATTAAGCACAAGCTGAAACCTACCGGCACTTTTAAATGTTTTTAGACTTGATGTAGCCATACCATTTTGTATCATTTGCAAGTAAAGAAAGTCCTAGGTAAATTTTGTCATGCCCTTAGTTACAATCTGACTCATTCTGACTGCTCACAGCTTACTGAAAACCTGATTGCAGCTGTCCAGCCAACAAGCATTACCCTGAGGTCGGGGACCATATACACTCGTTTACCCAGGACAGTCCTAGATTTCAACTGCTTTCCTAGCGTAACTGTAGTGTCCCCTTTCACTCTCAGAAGTATCCCAATTTGAAGGACAAAATTAGTCTTAATTTGGGTAATTCGTATGGATTATCAATATACTGTTTTAATAGGATAACCTTCATCTAAAATAAAACCAAAAAATATTATGATGAATCTTTTATTTATTCATTGGTGAGCCTATAAGACAGGGTGGGGGTTAGTCCTAAACAAATTTACTTAAATTTTTAGTAAAATAGTAATAGTACTATGGTTGTGCTAAACAGCAATTTAAAAAAAGCTTTATAGTTTAGAGGTTCTTACTGAAATATTTTCAGATGAAAGTGTATGCTATTTGAGATTTGTTTCAAAATAAGGGGGGGACATGGAATGAGTAGCAGTATAGATGGAAAGAGACCAGTAATAAGTTAGTAACTGTCAAAGCTGGGTGATGTTTACTCGGAAGTTCACTACACTGTTCTCTCTACTGTTGTAATGTTTGAAATCTTTGTAATAAAAAAGCAGAAAGAATTACCAATAACTAAGAAGTATAAGCCTTAGAGAGACTTTCTTTAGAGAAATTTACATGAGGTTCAAAATCAAGAGCTCCACTCAATCTAATTCCTTGTAGATGACTTGAGAGAACCACCAGTCCTCTGAAATTGTGATCCAAAAAATAGAGAAAAGGAATATTTAATCATTCCCCTTTCCATACTTATCTCTTTTTGGTTTTCAAACTCTTATTCTCAATTTTCTGCTAGTCAAATCTGCCCTTTCCCAGTTTTGAAATGAACCCCTGCTTGTTTTTAATCGCCCATGTTGTAAATCAAAGAAATTGTTTAAAAAAAAAAGTAATACAAAACCAAATATGCTGGAATTGACAAAAAAAAAATCGTATCAGAGCCAGCATGAGAAACAAGAGATCCACAGATAGTATTTGACTTCTACCAGTAGTAGTATTACTTATTAGTGAAAATAATTTTCTCCCAGTGTTACTCAGCTGTAATCAGAGAACAGTTTACAAAATAGGGAACCATTTTTCTTATATATCATCAAGTTATGTTAAGTAGAGGGGACATCAACCTGAAGACCTCCTGAGGAAGAAATCTGAAAGATATTTTTTCTTTCTCTCAAATTCTTCCAGTTGTAATTTATTTAAAACAAAAACAAGTAAACAAGTCACTTAGTTAAATGAAAACAAAAGCAAGGCTGAAATGGATCAAAGAGATTATGTCCAGCTAAGAGAAGTGGGACACAGCTGAGCCAGGAACGCTAAGCAGAATTAAGACTGGCTTGGGAAAACACGCACAAGAGAAAGTTCCAGAAGAGTCCTAAGTTTTGAGGTGAAGGTTATTTTTAAAATTAATATCCTACAAATGAGAAGAAAAGACTCTTCAACTTTAAAGGCGCGAGTCCTACCTCCCTTCAAGTTCCCCCAGCTATGTTTAGAAGCCCTGAATTCCATGTCCCTTCTTTTACTGGGTAGTTCTATACACAATATACTTGAGGTTGATTCACAGACGAGCAGGAACAGCCATAATCCTGAGAAAACTAAAGGAAATCCAGCTAAGTCTCTTAATGAAAGGAAATAGCAGGAACTTTCCAATTAAACTTTAAACTTCCATTGAAAAATATGCCCCAGTTATGCAGGAGTAACCATACGGCCGAGGATCCCAGTTTATTTATTTTATCCTAGTGTAATTATTAATTGTACTTCCTTTTACTCTCAAGTATCCTGATTTAAACAACCTAACCAGGAACAACATTAATCAGAATCAACTGAGGTGTTTGTTAAGAACTTAGATTCTTGGGTCTTAGACTTGTGCAATCAGGACCTCTGGAGATCCCCGCACAGGCACCTGCATTGTTAACAGGTGCCCCAGGCAACTCTTGTGCACACTAAAACTGGTGTTAATGGAAAATGGTTAAGGGAATTCTAAGTAAAGACACAACTAATCTCAGATAATCATCATCTCCATTCACCAGCCGTCATTTACTGCTCTTAACATCCTTCTCCCAGGAGTTTAGAATTTGAGTGAAAAAAAGGATCTAGAGTAGTGCTTTGTAAACTATCTGTTGGAACTGCACCCCACTGCAGAGCCCACCTGTGGAAAACTATACTTTATAAAAGGCAATAAAAATAAATTACTAACAGCATTATATACAATAGCCAAGACATGGAAGCAACCTAAATGTCCAACAACAGATGACTGAATAAAGAAGCTGTGGTATATTTATACAATGGAATACTACTCAGCCATAAAAAATAATAAAATAATGAATACCATTTGCTACAACATGGATGAACCTGGAGATTGTCATTCTAAGTGAAGTAAGCCAGAAAGAGAAAGAAAAATATCATATGATATCACTCACATGTGGAATCAGAAAAAAAAAAGGAAAAAGAGGACACTAATGAACTCCTCTACAAAACAGAAATAGACTCGCAGACACAGTAAACAATCTTATGGTTTCTGGGGGAAAGGGGAATGGGAAGGGATAAATTTGGGAACTCTATTCAATATGTTGTAATAACCTTCAATGAAAATGAATGTATGTATGTATATACATGACTGGGACATTATGCTGTACATCGAAAATTGACACACTGTAACTGGCTATATCTCAATAAAAAAATAAATTACTAGAAAGATGATCACATGCATAGATATGCCAATGTCAAACTGCTATAATAGTTCTTAAATGGTCAATCTACTTATTGCAGTTAGTAACAATTTGTGCACTGACACTGGTCCATGGACCACATTTTTGAGTAACAATGTTTTGGATAAATGTGGATTTAGGGGAAAAAGAGTTAAGACTAGAGTCAAAACTTGAATACTATGTATATATGAGTTTGGAGATTTTCTTATGTCTAATATATACAAAAGATGATGTTCAGCTGGCTTCACCACTCCTTTCATAGTGGATAATGACCTTTTACTAAACCTAAATACTTGACAAGTTAATTTCAAACTGTAACTGAGTAGGACCCCATGAGGCCGTCCTGGACCATGAGGCCGTCCTGGAAAGGAACCCTCCTCCCCAGGTTCTCTGCCTGCCTCTTTTGTAGAAAAACTAGCCTCCTAGGCCTTTTCTGAGTTCCAAAGAATAAATTTAATCAGAGAAATGAGAAAATGCAAAAAAAGGAAACAGTCAAACAAGACAAAGTAATAATAGTTAGTCAAGGACCTTTAAGTTCCTCCCCAAGGGCTACAGATAATATTCTGAGTCATGTCCTTTGAGCTGTTTTGCAGATACTGAAATCCCCACCGGGTGGAAGAAGTTAACTATATGCTGTTCACAAGTACAGAGAACCCAGACCAGCTGGAACCAGAAGGTTGATGATGATTCATGATTACCTCACCATCAACCAATCAAAAGAATGTCCACTGGCTGATCATGCAGCCCACAAACCTCTTCCCTCATCCTGTCTTTAAAAACCTTTCCCTGGAAGCCACTGAGGAGCTGGAGCCTTCTGAGTACTAGATGCCTGGACTCCTTGCTCGGCGCCTGCAATAAATGCTCCACTTTCTTTCACCACAACCCAATGTCAAGGCTGGCTTTACTGCACGAGGGTGAGCAGACCCAAGTTTGGTTCGGTAACAAAAACTGCCTTTAACGACACACGGGATTTCACTAATAAAAACACAACCTAAACACTTGGACTCTGAAGTTTTAGCTTCTAAACGTCTTAATCCACACTTTCAACTATGAAGTATATGAACTGTAACAAAGAGGTTCAGTTCTTGCATCCTTTCAAATCATAAATAAACCACTCACCACCACACACAGAAGTTTCCCTTCTTCATTTCTGTGGCTGTATGTTGTTGCCTCCTTAAATATTCCG